CTAATACCACGCTAAATATTTTTGAAATAAATCGTTAGTTGTTATATGTGATTTGGAACTTGAATAACAATCGGTGTAAATCTTTCAGCTGCAGGGCCCTGTTTCGCGAAATTTTTTCTTAACTTAGGATTTTGAGAAACAGTTTCCAGGTCTTTAGCATTTTTCGTGCAGCAAACACAGTTAATCGCCATTACAAAAACCACCACTAGTTTGCACAGTATAAAAACACTTTGGAACAGAAGCATTTTCTACAGGAAGCGATGGTGGCGGCGGCGGTGGGGGGGGGGCAGCAGGAGAGGGGGCGGGGGTGTTACATATCCTTAAAAGGTGCTTTAAAAACTCGTCAAACCGGTCACATTATTATAACAAATTAAAAGTCATTATTCGTCGCGTATTTTTTGCATACTGGTTTTAAAAAACGTCGTGTAACATTAGTTCACAAATTTACAAAACTTTTATTGCACTTTTGTAACATTGCAATATTTGTCCTCCCCGAGGTTGTCTTCTACCCAGTAGCTTCAGCTATTGAAGAGCTAGCCATCGCCTCAATTAGCTGCAAGCATGTAAACGGTTCCGTAGACGAGGCAGGGTACTCCTTTTTTTATGTGGAACTCCAGATACGACTTTTCATTAGATTAGTTTACGTTAGTAACAATCTTCTGTTAAACTTCATAAAACTTTAACAAATTAAAGATGCATTATGTAAGATTTACATAAAGAGATAACAGTTCAAAAATAGATAATGAAAAATGAATATTTTGAAAATTACAGCCAAATAACATTGTTCTGAGCGAAGTTATAAGTCATGGGTTTTTGAATTATAGCGTATAGCGTAAATAGTCTCAATTATCTGTTTAAAGATACATTATGGGAGATTTTTATAAGGAGTTAGCCATTCTTGCTATAACAGTTCAAAAATAGATGATGAAAGAAGAATATATTGAAAATTTCAGTCAAATTATCACCAGTGGAATTTTTGACTAGAAATGGGATTGAATTCCATCTTCACCGATTCTTAGTATGGCCGATCGTTTGATTGACAGGCGTTAACTCCACCTACATAATCTCTGCTGTCTTTTGTCTGCTGTCATCATATCCGAATTTGTGTTTTACCTTTTTGGATTTTTATAACAATTGGACAAAATGAGTGAGGGGGTAAATTTTCATTCTTACTTGTATTTTGGGCATGCATTAAATCAATTGAATATAGGACATAATATTATAATACAATAAATCTATAGCCTATAGGTATACACCAGTGACGTCGTGCCTATTGGGGAAATAAAAATATTTTTATTGATATTATTAAGACAGAAGACCTGTCCGTCTGTATTAGTCATCACATGGTCTCCAGGAATTGTATAATTTGTCATTATCTGTGTTTAGTTTATTGCACTTTAAATAGTTTAGATGTCATTTGTTAAGGCATTGCTCAACAGCGGCCTCGCTTCGTACACTCTATCATTTAGTCTCGATCCGAGAGTATGACGTCAACGTAACGGTTAATCCCCGCTCACGACGCCATTTAAAGTTAAATCAGTCAACGAAATCCCGTTTAAATCCAAGCTGAATCCAAGCCATCCGTGGGTCTACAGAGTTGATTTTGTGCTTGTTGTGTAAATAAAGATCTAGTTTATAATTTCTACGACATCTGAAGCCTAAATAAAGACTTGCAATAATCAGATTTAGCTCTTGCATAATGTATGTTTAACGTTAAATTATTATATGGCGCGGTTGTTCTAATTCTAGTTCCTGCACCAGCGGCAAAGGCGAACCACGTCGGAAAAATCCCAATGAACTCTCTCAGCCAACACCGGGATCGAGTCAAGGTCTTACTCGCTGAGCCACTGGCTCCCGGCGATATCAATACAAATGGGCGCGTTCGATTACTGGCGCCACGCTTACTCAGGCCTCCGCGAGTGCGTTCGGGTTGACGATGACGTCATTTAAACGGCTTACTCGCGCCAGGGCGAAGTAACCTGTCCCAAGGAGTCGGTTACTTCGGGAAGTGTCTCATAATCCAATTTTCAACATGGCAGCACATCAACTTTTATCGCGTTCGATTACTTGCTCCGGGCTTACTCGACCAGGATCCTCGAGTACGTTTCGACATGCGCAGTGGGATCGGGTAATCGAACGGCGCGGCGCTTTCGTTAGGTATCAAAATGGAAGATAAAAGCCGCCAAACAATTATGTTCGGTGTTCTGATAAATAACGACGAGCAGACAACAATCCACCAATAAACTTTAATTGATAGAGACTTTTTCATTGACATCTTATTGGAAGGATTAAATCCGGAGAAGCGAAATAAAGCCCCATTGATAGAATATTATGCAGAAAACTTTAAATCACACTTTCGCAATGTAGCGTTTAATAACTTTGTTAACGAGCTCCATGACTTACCAGAATTGCAGTAAGGAGGGCAAGGTTATGGTCGCACACCAGATACAATTCCAAAACAAGCATATTGCTACCCTAGATCCATTTCGCTCTCTATCCGATAGATTTAACACACTGTATATGAGGCAGAGTTTCTAATGAAAACAGCTATTCAATGTCCATTACCCCAAAAACGTCGAGAAATTTATAACTGTTTTGCTGAATATTGTAAATTTCCTGGAACAATCGGAGCTATCGGTGGCTGTCATATCCTAATTATGGCGCCCAAGATGAAGGACAATCGAACATCATACATCAATGGCAAAAGGTTCACTGTATCGTACACCAGTCTGCATGCGATCATTGAATCCGCTTTACTCATGTTCACACCGGCTGGTCTTGGTGTACACATGTGGAATTCTTGTATTTTCCTCCAACCAGATACCAAATTTCAGGAGGGAGAATTCCTAATTGGGGCCCCAGTCTGCATTCAGCCATGGCTTATGACTCCACACAATAATTTGGGGAAATTGACCCGTAATCCAAAAAAAAAAAAAAAAAAAAAAAAATACATATATATAAACAGCTCAGTTCTGCGATAGAAGGTGTCTTTGGGCAACTGAAAGGACGCTGAATGTCCTTTTCTAACTCCAGGAATCGTTGCACCAAGATGTAGAATCACTAAAATAAACACAAAACTACTGTGGAATGGAGATATGGTATTTTTAATCGGAGCAAAGTGTCAACAATAATTCTTCCGTCGCCTAAACTTCATCTGCAAGTATAACTTCGACCAAAAATATTATTTGCTGCCATGTTGAATAATTGGATTATGGGATACTTCCCGAAGTAACCGGCTCCTTGGGGCAGGTTACTTCGGCCTGGCGCGAGTAAGCCGTTTAAATGACGTCATCGGTAACCCGAACGCACTAGTGGAGGCCTGAGTAAGCGCGGCGCCAGTAATCGAACGCACCATTTTTGATCGAAGTTATATCTTTAGATTAAGTTTAGGCGACGGAAGAATTGTTGTAATTGACAATTTGCTCCGATTAAAAATACAGTATTCCCATTCCACAGTAGTGTTTGTTTTAGTGATTCTGCATCTTCGTGCAATGATTCCAAGAGTTAGAAAAGGACACTAAGCGTCCTTTCAGTTGCCCAAAGGCACGTTCCATCGTGGAACTGAACAGCTTATTAAATCATTTTTGATTACGGGTCAATTTTCCAAAATCATTGTTTGGAGTCATAAGCCATGGCTGAAGAGGGAAGACTGGGTCCCCAAGTATGAATTCTCCCTCTCGAAATTTGGTATCCGGTTGGAGGAAAATACAAGAATTCCTCGAAACCCTAGTATCAAGTGTACTGTACACACAGGCCAGCCGGTGTAAACATGAGTAAAGCGAATTCGATGATCAGATACAGCCTGGAGTACGACCGAGTGACATTTTTGCTGTTGATGTATGATATTCGATTGTCCTTTATCTTGGGAGCCTTAATTCGGATATGACAGCCACCGATAGCTCTAATTTTGTTCCGGGAAATTTACAATATTCAGCAAAACAGTCAGAAATTTCTTAACGTTCATTGGGTAATGGCCATTGAATAGTTGTTTTCATTAGATTGTTTATCATCGTCTTAGAAACTCTCAGGAATATACAGTGCGTTAAAGATATTCCAAATCTATCGGGTACTGAGCGAAATGCATCTGGGGTAGGAATATGCCACATAAACATTGCATGTTTTGGAATTGTAAATGGCGTGCAACCATAGCCTTGCTCTCCTAAATGTAATTCTGGGACCTGTTTCCCGAAATCTTAACTAAAGATAAAATCCAAATTTTACTAGATACTTCAATTTTGATTGGCTAAGCACTAAAATCAATCTAATATTATCCAATCAAATTACTAAAATTTGGATTTTATCTTAGTTACATTTTCGTGAAACAGGCCCCTGGTAAGCCATGAAACTCGTTAACAAACGTTAAATTGGTTAAACGAAAGTGTGATTTGGAGTATTTTAAAGATTGTAGAGGGACTGTATATTCTGCATAATATTCTATCCTTGGAGCTTTATTTGGCTTCTCCAGATTTAATATTTCCAGGTAAGATGCCAATGAAAAAGTCAGTATCAATTAAAGTTTGTTGGAGGATTATTGTCTGCTCGTCGTCATTTATCAGAACACTTGGCGGCGTTCATCTTCCATTTTGATACCCAAACAAAGTGCTGCGCCGTTCGATTACCCGTTCCCCTGCGCATGTCCAAACGTACTCGCGGATCTTGGTCGAGTAAGCCCGCACAGCAAGTAATCGAACACTATTGAACGTAGTTAAAGGGAGGCAATTCTAGAATTCAACATACAACTTGTTTTTTTCAATTCGTATTCTTGTAATCTTGCCAAGGTTAAATTTGGGTTGATAAAACCCTACTACTGTTTTGGGGTGTAGTATCAGTCAGCTATTATAGGTTAACTTTATGGGTCATAACGATCTGGAAATATCACTGGGACACTTGTATCAACAGTGAAAAGGAGGCATATCCTGGTCATTGTCCATCACACTAAATCAAATGCAATTTGTAGGCCTTTCACTAGTATGGTAGATAGATAGATAGATTCATTTGACACAAACAGATACAATAAACTATAAAATTATAAAATATATCAAAATTTATGCTTTATCTAAAAGTGCACAGATAAAACACAAATCTGTAAACGGCCCAATTTCCACTGTGGTCTCTAATTATAATGCTAACCAATAACTAGCTTGAGCGCTCCATTGATTTGGGGCTCCCGGTTGCCACCCTGTCCCCCTTTAATCCGGCCCTGGTAGAATATCGAGGTCATTTACGGACTTCTGATTGGTGAACTGTAAACTTACTGATCCTGTGTTAAATTCAAAGCTGATTCCTGAAATTATTCTGCATCTGGTAATATGATTTCCAGCAATAAGCAAGTGTTATATTTATTTATGAGAAAGATATACTAAGGGGATATTTATTGTAAAGATTAATGGTCAGTCATATATGATAGAAGAAAAGAAAAGGCAGGCGTTTCACGGTGTGTTGAATAAAATACCTTTCATCCTTCCTTTTTTTTGCACAGTTCAAAATTTTGTTTTCTCAAAACCCGAAATGTCTAAATTAGGCTACTTTAAATTGTTTTTGTCGAACCGTCCAGCTTGAATTTTATTGATGATGAAAAGCCACGCTAGAAAAACCTGAGGTACCTTCACGGCCAACACCGGCGTCGAATCTGGGACATGCTGATTAGTGAACCAGCGCTTTACTCATTGAGCTTCTTGTCCCAAGTCATCAGTGGATTCTTATTAATCCACAGAACATCATTGGGCCAGCCAGCAAAATAATGTAGTTCCAGCGGTAATGGAACCTGTTCGACCGTGTAGGGATACAAATTACGTTCTGTTAGAAAACTTATAATTGCTCTAGCATCTTTGCTTTGTTTGTGTTGCACCCACTCCATTAAAATTATTCGAACATCCACTTTATCAAAAAACTCCTTTCCTCCTTGAAGGACTTTATTTTCGTAAGATTCGACATCCATTTTAATGACCACGCGTTTCAGTGGCTTTAAATTGTAAACGTCATCCAACGTGATCGTATTTAACGTGCCTGGGACGTTGCCATCAGTTTTTTGCGCATGTGTTCCGCCAATATTTCCAAATTGTTCATGCATGACAACGGTCGTTCTATTATCAGACAAAGGATTGGTTACTAAAGTTACGTGATTGTCAACACGGTTATCTTCCAGCGTTCGACACAGCCTTTGTATATTGGGTTTAAAGGGTTCAATGGCAATAACCTGTCGTCCTAACTTGGACATTGTTAGAGTATACACGCCAATATTGGCTCCGATATCCACAAAATCCAAGGATGTGTCATTTAAAAGATATGCATGGATCAGACTGACATAATCACTTTCCCAGGCGCCTTCACGAATAATACCACCAGAAACGAATTGATCTGCCAGAGGAGAATGGACGTATATCGGAAGCGTTCCTTGTGGCCCATTTAACAATATTCCTGTAATAAACACTTCCGCGGTATTTCTACAGATATTCCCATCGATTATCCATTCGTTATTAAGATATTTGTGTACTTTCATGAGCCGTGAACCTGGTTGTGAATGATATTTAAAATTTTTGTACAGTTTGTTGACATCTCTATGTTGTGCCGGATTCCATTTTAGGGGATGCAATATATAAACCCAGAAGAGGAACCCCATAAGCGACAGAGTTGTAACAATAAAACGTTTTCGGAATAATAACTTTGTGCTCATTTCGGATTATAATGTTTTGCTGAATTATACACAGCTAGTATTTTTTTCCTGCTTTAGAGATCAAGTAATTACACCAGGTAATAAAACACAAATTTCCAATTTGAATTAGAAAGTTCTGACATCACAAATACAGATTTCCAGATTATCACATCATTCTCGTGGCACTTAAACAAAATACAAAAATAAATCCATTGGGGCAATTCCCAGCAACTTCATTTAGAGGAAGCCAATATTATCTTGTGTATTTCTAGAACATTGCAGAATTTATACGAACATAAGTTTACAATATATAGACTTATAAAGCTCACGTCGTACTGGGTAAACACATTTTTCTACATACTCATTAGTAGTCGTTCACAATTAATTAGACTGAGCCTACGGCGATGTACCTCAATTTGTTATCATTTAATTATACCATAAAATTCAGTTCGTACCAGGAAGTAAATTTGAAATATGACATCTTTCTATGCAGTTCAATCCATCATCTATTGGTAATTTATTATATTATAATCTTAATTACTTGTTTAATTAACAGTGTTTTATCGATAAGCTTTTATAAGGACCCTGCTAATCATTTTCTTTTAATGTAGTAATATGTGGAGGACTTTAGTAATTTGGGCGTGCAGTGAAAGTGAGTGAGGGTTCGACGTCCCAATGTATCCATTTTTTGATGGGTGGGGTTGGGGATAAAGCACACGACCATGTTATTTAAATTTTGTTTATGTAGCTGAGCAGGTGTACATGTAGCTTGAGACAGATACAAATAATGAAATCAACATCACTCGATGTTTAAGTCGACGGAAAGAAGGCCGACTGAAGTGTTGACATATGATATATACGTTTTGTTGTTTGAGGTGTAGTAGGACGTTAAACCCCATTTCATTTCATTTTTATGAGGTGTCTGTGTATTTTGTGTCCATGGGTTTGTCTTGTTTTATTGTTTATGTGCGATGCGTCCCCCTGCACTTACATGTACTATGAACGAGTTAAAAAACAAAACCCGGGTTTTAATATGGAAACAAAAATAAACAAGTTTGTTTGCTATGCGAACACTCTATGTGAAATGGTATCACATGTTCTAAAAAGAGAAAAGCCCGCCTCCTACATGACTCCCGTCGCTTATTTCGGCTGGAGAGAGAGAGAGAGAGAGAGCCTAGTGTGAACATGAATTTCAGTAGCCCAAGCTAGAAACACAATTATAAAACACTTAAAGAAAAATAGACATATGTATATATCTATAGATTCATACATTAAATATCACAGTATACCATAGAGAATTCTAGATGAATAAACAATAAAATATTAAATCTCAGTCCTTCACAAGATGACACCATAAAATATATAATCTCACATACAGTAACCAAAGAAAAGGTATGTTGTCTATTATTAACAGAGTCTCTCACCGCGCTACGGACTATTACAGCTAAGCAAAGTTCCACAAAACGACCAACCAAAACAGTATATTTGTTAAGCCACGCAAGCATATCAGTAAAATCGAAATATCGAGTTGAAATCGTTAATGATTCTGTTAAAAAAGCTATAATCAGAACTATATTGTCTATAGACAGTGTAATGTTACCACCAGAACTAGACAGTCGATTGTTACCACCAGAACTATACAATCTATTGTTATCACCAGCACTATCCTGTCTATTAAAAAGATTATTATCAATTTTCAGTTATAATTTAATCATAAATCCAATGGATAATCAATCATTTAAATGAAAGGTTTTAAAATGTCAATATTTCTGTAATATGCATGACGTAGGAAGCAATATAAAAAGTATAATTTACGCAGCGGGGATTAGTTTATCTGACAAACAAGCAAGAAGATCTCATTAGACTTTGGTCTTGTTCAGTTATTTATGGATCTCAGTTGGATTCACCTCCGGTTCGTCCCTTTGACATAGAAACACTCGAACACAACCATAAGAGTACATATTGATGTTTAATTTCCCAGTGACATACCACTGGTTTCCAAGGGGGTCGTAGTACTCAATCACATCCGAGTATAGATTATCCTTAGCACCTCGTCTGCGGCCACCGAACGCATACAGTTTCTCATCCAGAACAGCCAAACTAACAAAATCTCGTGGGTAGCTCATATCTGACAGTATATCCCACGCTTCAGTAGTGGGAGTGTATCTAAACACACCCTCCAGTCCAACTATATATATCTGACTATTTAAAACACACGCGTTCAGACACATATCATTAGCGGGAAGTCCACTCTGTAATACGGTGCACATTCCATTACTGGTGTCAAAGCACTGGACTACATTGGTGACCAACTCGTCGCTGTTTTTACCACCAAATAAATAAATCTTTTTACCATAAGCAACAAATCCCATATTCTCTACCGCCGTGTTTAAAGATCCTGCTTCATCCCATTTGTTGGACTTTTTGTTCCATTTTTCAATGGAGGACAAAACGACCTCTTCATCAAAGCCACCCAGAACATAAATACAGTTATCCACAGCAGCCATCGCATGACGTCTTCGAGCATGCAACATATTTGCACCTTTCAGCCATGTTTCAAAATTAGGATCATATTTCCAAAACTCAGAACTTCTCAAACCACCTGATACATATATTTCATTGCCCATGTTGCAGGCAGCAAATTCGTTTCTTTTCTTAAACGGTAGTGTCTTCAGTGATACAAAATCATTTAAAGTAGATCTATAACCTTCAACCTCATTGCTCAAACCATCCAAAACTCTTCCGCCAAGTAGTACTGCACACTCATAATAAGGGAAGGAATAGCGCGGGGTGATTTGATAAGAAGGGAGCAGATCTCGTCTGGAAGGCACCAAGTGAAACATAATAGCATCATCCAGGAGTTCTTTACCTTTATCTTCTTCTGACAGGTGTCCCATTTTAACAACTACATCCATGAGATATCCCTCAGTTATCAGTGGATACTTAATACATTCTAACACCTTAAACCTAACCTTCTTTCTTACATCTGCATCAAATTCTAACCATTTTATGGCTGCGTCAAAAACGACATCCTCACAGGGACAATTTAGCCTCCTATCTTTTAACAGATCTATGATACAGTCGACGGACAATTTCATAAAATCTTCATCATACACAATTCCTGTAAAATGACTACATGCAAACTCTTTTGAAAATTCATACAGAGCTTTGTGTCCATGAAGATCAGCTAATGTTAGCGCTGCCAAGCAATTTCCTTCGTTCATGTTCTGTTCAAAAAATTGGACGCACAGCTCAACTAATGGACTGATTTGAAATAAATGCGCCTGGGTAAAGAGTTCCTGTACAATGAAACTGGTTATATTGACGTTTCCGGTATAAATAAATAACAGAACATCTTCAAAGACCGCAGCATCAATCTGTTTTAGTTCAACTTCATTTTTACGACTCTCTGCCATTCCAGACGAAAACATGGATTTGAAATATGTGGAACCAGCGGCTAGAACTATCTTATGACAATTAAATTTTCGTTCCTCTATACAAATAGTTATATCAGTGTATCCTCCCTCCATGCGCAACTTGGCCACATTGTCAATCAAAAAATTCAGATGATCTTTGCTGGAAAAACTGGCTTCTGATTCAACACTCACATCATCTGGTATGTCGGCCATTTTACCTGCAAATAAAAACAAGACCATCAAATATGAAAGTATCGAAATTAACGAATGGTCACGTTTGGTCGCCATTATAAGAATTGGTAGGAGAGAGAGAGAGAGAGAGAGAGAGAGAGAGAGGGGTTTAACGTCCACTCAACACAAACTAACATATGATTTAATTTTATTTCAATAGGGGTCTTTAGCAGTGGGAGGAAACCGGAGGACCCGGAGACAACCCACGAGGTTGGACAGGCGACCCTACTACTTGTCACGTACAACCGGGGATTCGAAACCTTGCAAGTTGACTCAATGACAGGCCTTATGATACAGCACGCACGCGCTAACCATTCGACCATCCAACCCCTAGAATTGGCAGGAGCCTGCAGAAGTCATCAGGTCAAACGAGTACCACTTTCCATTATAGGATTTTCTCGCGTGGCGGGCTTACTTGGTGTCGTTACTCGATTTTGTATTTGACCAGTATTCAAAATAATTTGCACATTCGTGATTTTTGTTATGCAAAGAAGGGAAAAGAACGATGCGCTTTGGGATTAATCAATTATTACGTTAATCCCTACAATTTAAATTGTATTCCATCAGTCAACTATATCCATAAAGCAACGGTTAATAGTATCGTCAATTTATTGCCAATTAATATACTTATTTTTGTAAAGCGGCGTTTCTGGTACCCACTTGGGTTCCTAATTGTTTTGTTTTTTAATCAATGGGCGGCGGTAAAAACTGTAAATCACATTAACCGAAAAAATAAATGCTTTTCTTTTGATTTTAATACATACTCGTGGTTGTTTCTGATATATTTTGGTTTTCAGTGTACGGTTTCCGTTTCTAATTTGCGGTTAGTACACGACAAACATTAAACCGTAGCTACATAAATCCGTCTTCTATTTTGGTACAGAGAGAGAACTTTCTCAGCCAATACCTGGAGCGTACCCGAGACCTCCTTGATAGCGAGCCAGCGTCTTACTCACTAAGCCAACAATATCAACCAAAGACGATTTCAAAACTATACAGGTCTAGTGATTCTCAGGGGTCCAAGGTGTAGTACTATGGACTTATTTATTTGTTGTGTTTCCTTGTGATCGTAAATAATACTACAGCAATAATAGTTTCACAGCTTTATTGGTAAACTGGAATAACTTTGCAGGTTCCTCGTTCTCAAATATATAATGGCTTCTTGGAATAATCTGGTGAGAGTCTAGTCAAAACTCACTTTAACCCTTCAATTTATACCTGTCTCATTTCGGCAGGTCCTTGGTACTTTTCCATTGAAAATACGTAATAAACTTGTTTATTTCCCACCACTAACAGAGATAGATATTACCTTATTTGGTCTTACAACCATAGGTCAATAAACAACCAGAATTTGATGACTATTTTGACAATGATTATAATGATGACCAAAATATCACTGTTTTTTTTATATATAACCATACCCAGGCAAAATTGAAGAGACAATTTTATAAAGACCCAAAATTGTCTCAAGGGCCAAAGTGTTACAAAGGCTCAAGCTCTAGGCACTAGACTTAACTCTCATGGGTTCGTAACTTTAGCATTCTAAAGCCCGGTTCCTACTAGCCTAGATTGGCGCATGTGGGTCCAGAAGAGAGGTGTCTCTGATCGTCTGGATTTGAAGAAAATTTGATGAGTAGCTTGAAAGACCACTTCATGAACAAAATTCTCCTACATACACAGAAGTAAACATGACTGAAAGTTGGTATGAACAAGGCTTAACTTTCCAATCCATTGTTACTGATTCACAAAGAAGAACGAATGGATAATGAATCATACCTTGACAAGCATCTGAACTCCACCAATTTGACATGTATAAATAACACACGAACAAATTTAATGTCGTTTTTCAACATTCCAAACTCCTATTATACACTATTAATCATCAATAAAACGGGTTTAATATATTTCATATATTATTGATTTTAATAAATATAACGTCTGACAATGTACATAATGCAATTATATAGAGTTTCAAATTAGTATTGGGTTTATTAAATTATATATATGTATGTGCAACATCTGGTTGTTGCGAGCTATCATATAAATATACCCTTCGGCAGGTCGAATAGCTTTATTCTATATATTATGAATAGAGGGTTTTATTTATAATTAATCAAAGATTAGGGTTGCAAATGTTCGTCTGTATTATGCACGAGACTTCAGTGACTTTATAAATAAATCCGCACTTGAACCTTTCTGATCGGAAGGATGGTATGTTCATTGGTTGTTTACAGTACAAGTAGAATTGAATCCCAGTAAAATATAAAATATGAAGTATATGAAATGGAAGAGAAAGAAAAATAAACTGAATAACGTGATCTTAATCAGAACGAGTTTGTACTTCAACTCTTTAAATACCGAAGGGGGCTTTGGGCGAAGCATATTATCAAGTTACCTATTTAAAGTCTGTGGTCGGCATTTGCAAGTTGTGAAAGTTGTGTCTCTGAAAGGAAAATCAGTCCAAAATGGTTCACTTCCGTTTAAGATTACAAAGATATGACAAATTGAAAACATTCGGCATCCTTTATACACAATATAAATGACATCTGGTCACATTTGTGGGAAACCAAAACATAAAAAGTTCTCTTTGGTCACAATGGCCAAACGGTTGGTCAAAATGTATGTAAATATATATCTTTGGCTATTCTATTGGTCGTTTTGATTTTTTAAGGTCATTTTGAAAAAAATTTCGGCTGTAACCCACGCTAGCCAGAGCCCCCTATAAGTTAGATAAAATCTTTTGATGGGCTTCCTTCTTGTAAACCCCATTCGTTATATAATGAATTGGAGTATAGTTTAGCGGAGATTAATTCGTGAAAACAGTTATATATATTTCGTCCGAAAACTACAAATAACGACCAGCGGCTTTAAAACTTGTATATTATTATTAAATTAAACCTACAGGCATAATGCAAGATCTAAATCTGCTTATTGTGGGTCTTCCTTTAGGTCTAAAATTTTATATAAATTATCAATTAGACATTAGTTAAATTACCAAGACCACCATAATCATCTCTCTGTGTCATCGCATGGCTGCGATGTAGTAGATTTAAATACGTTTTTCGGTCGATGCGGTTACCGTAAAATTAGATAATCGAGACTTTGTTTATTATCTTACAACGGTAGTTATGACAATCGAGGCTAGGCTATAATTGTATCGCCGATATCTAGGCTCAGAGTGAAGTAATCTGACTGACATTTTCAGCATATTCTCTTTTCATTATCTAATTTTAACTATTATAGCGAGAACTGCCAGCTCTTTACGTAGTCTTACCTATGTTTCGATTTTTGTGGACGGGGATGGTCGCAATAAATATTTTATAAGGTTATAAGAGCGTTTTATTTCAAAATTTATTATGGTTTATAAATCAAAATATTAGACACGATCTCAAATGTCTCTAATAAATAACGTAACAAGCTCCCAACCCCTTTCAAACATATAACGTCCACTCAACACATACTAGGTCACTTCGGGACTAACATGGCAGATTTTAATTCAATAACTTGTTCAGGTCTTCGGTAGTAGAGTGAAGCCCGAGGACCCGGAGAAAAAACACGTTGTTGGGTAGGCGACTCTACTCCTTGTCACACACAAGTTTGTGATCTAAACCAAGTCATTTGACTTAATGACACCTAATGTACTAAATCGCATGTGCTATAGTTAGACCACTTGACCTTAACCCTCGGAGCCGAAGAATGTTACCTGATAATAATTATTGATGCCGTAAAATGTTACTGATAAATTAACGCCGTAGTATGTTACCAGATAGCTTTAATTTATTTCAATGTTTGAATACTGACTTTGCATGTGCCAATGCAATAAATATATGCCTAATGTTATCGACCATTTACATATTCTTGTAAATGGTTGTGCGGGTAATGGTGTTTAACGTCCTACTTTTCTGCTCCTAATGGGTAATGAAGACAGGCATGCGCCCGGGTAGCCGAGCTACGGCCTACTCGAATTTTGATTCCATCCGAACGACTATTATACGTTGTCCCTTGCCAGACTCTCCGTCCTAAACCATTGACAAAAAGGGGTGGGGAGCGCGAAAAAGTTTTTCTTAGTCACTGAGCCATCGTGACTTCCTGTGTGTTAGGGACCCCAGAACACTACTTTGCCCGGGGGCGTATAATGCTGTTAAGACGACCCTGACTATATGTAAATAGTTGCAGTCACAAATTCTATGATTGCCACCAGGAAATGATTGACGAATACTGATACGTGTTGTTATGATAATGGTGGATAACATGCGCGAGGAGGAATATTTTTACTCTTTTGTAAAGTCCTTTTGACCTGATACTATATTTAGCTATGGGGACATGGCGTGTTCCCCTGGTGAATTCCATATATAGTATAGTTTACTAGAATTATTTTTGTATGGACTATGAAGTGTTAGATTGTTCAGTCACATAACAATTCCAACTGCTTTCAAAACCGGTACCCCTATATTCCACTAATAGATAATATTCTTATTAGATGAATTATAATTATTTAAGCAGTAAAATACCCTTTGCAATTGTAAGTAAGTATATTACATATCTTACCCCATCCTACCTTCAGGAAACAAATAAAGGCCGGTAAGTAGGGTATACTAGTAAGAAATAATTCAGAATAATAATGCCAGTTTTATAACTCTATAAATCTATAATGACAATACTTGTGTACTGTACAAGAAAGAAGTATTGATAATTTGAATAGAACTGATTATATAGGCCTTAAATATCACGCAAGCTCAATAAAGGTTTGTTTAACAGCCTGTGTAACTAAGTATTATTTATAGTAGTAAGGCTTCTGAAAGCCAACCTTCTGAGTCATACCTTATATTTTATTGTATTTTAATGAACTTCTTCTACCGTGGCCCAGTGAACTTTGCATTGAACCTTAAAGGTCAAAAATTAATTGAATATTACTACATGTAGGCCCTATGTTCTATAATGACTAGTGCCGCTTATACACTATTTGTACTGTACTAGATCTACCGGTATGCTACCGATTTCCCACTCAACAGACGTTATCAAGAAAACGGTCAGTGTATCCCTTTGAATTATATGTCTACAGTTGTAATAATCTTATGTAAACAGTTACCTGATAATAATGAGTTTCCTTTGTTACTTGACGTATCTCTATTTATTCTGGAATTCCGTAAAATTAGACATCAATTGGCTTTTTTCGTCCGTATTTGACGGATGTTATTTATTATTGACTTCTCGGTACAAGGGAAACAACTCTTGTTTACAGGTGCCCGTAGTCAAGTTTATCCAGAATATGTTCGCACAGCTGAATTTATTCAACTAATTATGGCAATATTATTATTATATTCTTACTTCCGAATAAAATCACACGCTAAAATAAAAAGTTATATTTGATAGTTTATCTCAAGACTGATGGGTTCTTATCTCTATTATATAGTATAAATATATTCCAAATGTGTACTAATGTTGGTCCAACGGTCGGGTGTTCGATCCCTGCATTGGCCGAGAAAGTTCATCCCGATTTTCCGGCGTGGTTCCCCCTTGTTAGTGATGCAGGACGGAGGGAAGTGAAATGAAATGAAATGGAGTTTAACGTCCTACTGTTCTGCTCCTAACCTGGGCTAATGAAGACGGGCATACGCCATACAGTGTGCTATGAGGGAAATTTTGCCCGGACAGCGGCACTACGGCCTACTCTTATATCGAATTCCAACTGCCAAGGGATCTTTACATCAGGATAATTTTTATAGAAATGGGGAGGAACGGTGGCTAAGTGGGTAAGACGCTGGCTAGCTAACCTGGAGATCGGGTGTTCGATCCCTGCATTGACCGAGAAAGTTCATCGGGATATTCAGGCGTGATTTCCCCTTGTCAGTGGTACAGAACGGCGGGGCTGACAAGGACAGCTGTCTAGTCCTTCAAATGGGACGAAAAACCGAGGTCACACGTATACATTGACATGCACGTAAAAGATCCCTTGGCAGTTGGAATTCGATATAAGAGTACGCCATAGTGCCTCGGCCCGGGCAGAATTCCCCTCACAGGACACTGTATGGTGTATGTCCGTCTTCATTAACTTAGAAAGTTAAATATAGATTATTTGAAGTTTCAAAACAACGTATATAATTATTCTGTTTTAATTTTATTAGTCTGGTTTATTTTCACTTGTTAATAAAAAATAAACACGTATTTTGTATAAAATACAATATACAGTGGGTTGTTTGTTTGTTCTGGTCGCACTAAGTAGACTATTGTCTGGGGTATAATACAATTGTAGATTAATACAAATAATCTTCTAACTTATTGAAAGATCTATAAATCATATACTAATATCATTCTATATAAATAAAAAGATTTATATTTATATTTATTAAAAAGGGTACATAACGAATGTGTTATACATACAGGGAATAATACACACGTATTGGTTACCTTAAGAAACTGATAGCCATTTACAATAACAGATCACTTTCAACACTCGAGTACGAAGGTTAAAGGGGAATTCAACTCTTATTAAAAAAGATCAAACATCGATTGTAGTGGTCATGACGTCCCAACAACACCCTGTGAATAATACACACCCATTCGTAGCTATTTACGTGACTAATACTGTGAATAATACACACTTTTTGGTTACCCTAAGAAACTGAAAACTGATAGTTATTTACTATATGACTGATCACTTTCTACACTCGAGTGCTAAGGTTAAAGGGGATTGCAACTTTTATTTAAATCGATCAAAATGGAATAGAATAGGTGTGACGTCACATCAACACAATAATCAGTTATTTCGAGACGAGTATCTGGAAAATTTCATTTGTTTTGTTAAGGATGAGGGTGAAGGTATTTTGTCCAGACGTCAGCATTTCCGTCTACACTGTTACGTATACGCTAGAGTGAAAATGGCTGGACCTCACATTTTCGTCCCATACGACTAGACACACCATATTTTTGTATCAGCTTCACACATGACAAGAGTGAGAACTAAACTTGAAAACATTATACGGTTATTTGAAACGGTGATCTCACTCGTGTCAGTGTATTTGTCTTAATTACCATCCCCATTGTAACTAATAATATATTTATACGGGGTGTTCCCACTTACCCGGCAGGCTTTGATGTCAAATTTTGCCGCTAATCCAGAGTTAATCCTAGAACAATGGTGTTATAAACTATAGTCCATATCTTTTTTAAGACTAAAACTGTATTGATTTTAACAAATTTAACTTTTATTAAATAACATTAAATAGCTTACACATATAAAAATATATTGATTTTAACAAATTTAATATTTATTAAATAACATTAAATGATTTACACATATAAAAATGCATTACAATTTACACATTTAACTTTTATTAAATAGCATTATATAATTTATAAATAAATGCCTTACAACATAACAATCATTTTACAGCCCCACTAAATAGGAAATATTTGTTCCATACCGATTTACACTTAAAGAGCCATTTAATAACTGTGTTTTCAAATGTTCAATTCTTGTATCAAGTTGTCGATATTTCTTAACGCGGGGCCTATTTATATTAATATAGTGAATTGAATTCATGTTTGAAATCATAACGCCGGCATGAACAGTGTTCAAAATGTCATTAATTAGTTGGTTAATAAATTATATTAAGAGGGATTAAGAGCTCATTAACGCTGAACACTAGTGAACAGTTCTTGAGTGACTACCTTTAAACAGACTATAGTTTTAAGATCAATCAAAGGATTAACAGTCTGCCGGCTAAGTGGGAACACACCATTTATACAGCGTTGATCGCCCCGTTGTAACTAATGTTATGTGTTTATACAGCAATCAGCAATGTTCACCCCATTGTAACTAATGTTATGTGTCTATACAGCGGTCGTCACCCTATTGTAACTAATGATTATATTTATACAACGATCATCACCCCATTGTAACTAATGCTATATAATTATACAACGAACGTCACCCCGTTGTATCTAATCATATATATTTATACAGCGATCATCATGTTATACAACGAACATCACCCCATTGTAAATAATGACATATATATATATATATATTATATATACAGCGAACATATCTCTTGTCTACGATATCACCTTAGGTGGAAGTGGACGTAAAACCCCAGAAACCAACCACCGAACATATCCACTTTGTAACTAATGATACATGTACATATTTATACGGCAAACATGACCCATTGTAATTAATGATACATATTTATACAGCGAACATCACCCCATTGTAGCAAATGATACATATTTATACAGCAAACATCATCCATAGTAATTAATGATACATATTTATACAGCAAACATCACTCCGTTGTAACCACTGATACATATTTATACAGGAAACATCACTCCATTGTAACCACTGATACATTATTATACAGCGAACATCAACCCATTGTAACTAATATATATTTTTTTACTGAGAACATTGTCCCTTTGCAACTAATGATAGGGAGTGGGGGGGATTAACGCACACTTTTGATCATAAGATCTTTTATTTGTTTATATTCCCATGTCAAGGAGTAGGTCACCTATTTAATGTCCGGTTGCCCCCCCCACGCACACACAGACTGCTGAAGACCCCTTCAGGCAAGGAAATCATTGAAGTAAAATTGATCCATATGTTATACCCGAAATGACCTAGTAGGCGTCCAGTGGACGTTAACACACATACCCCCCACCACCACTACCACCGCAACCGCCGCCCCCACACACTCTCTCCCCCCTCCCCCCTCTCTCTCTCTTTTTCTCTCTCACTGTGTAACTAATGATATAAGTTCAGAGCACCACTAAACCCGGATTGCTACTTTAAACAAGAAGTGAATAAGAGTGATAAGCGTCTTATATTGAAGATTAATAATAAGCAATATGTTATTATAGTATTATCAGATTATTACATGTAATACTGTTCTACGATTTCTTCTACAGTTTCTGTATAGTTGATTCACATTCTGACCATGGAGGTTAGGTAGCTCCTGTTATGTATTTAGAGGACTTTATAGCTGTCGATATCATTTAGTTTGACAGAAAACAAGGTTGGTAGAATATTGTAAAGCATAATATACTAATTATTTTGCCTATCTGTGTCGGAATATTATTCTTGTAGTTAATGAGTGTAAGGTCGGTGATTTTGTGGCCCGACCATTATGTAGTGGTGGGTATCGTGTATGAAGCAGGATATCGTTATTCTTTCCCGAATACTGTGTTACTGGGCCCAATGTGGGCCCAATGTGGATTGTGTATAGTAATAAATCTGTGCAACCAATAAGCTTCGGGTTTACCCTGACATTTGGTGCATTCTTATGTTTTGTTTCCGTATAATTTTACTGTGCAGTGGCTTTTAGCTCATTACATGGATTATAATGTATAGCCTGTATTTAGTAGTATGCATCTTCTTTGGACAACATAGAAAGTGGGAGGGTAGAATTTTTCCCGGACAGCGGCAGCTTTACCCACTTTTCTTTGAACTAGAACGGTCGAGCAATACCTTACTTAGGTACACTGCTTAGTAATACACTGGATGTCCGATGGTCCCATGTGATTGTCGGGATTTGAGCAGTCAAAAATTCTTGTCATGATTATTACTAAAAATAGGTTATTCACCTGGCTTGAATACACTATGATATATACCTGTATGTAAACTATAATATAATGACGTTTGGTATATGTATACAATAAAAGCAATATATCTACATTGTTCATATTAAGATATACTTTTATACTGTGTACATTAGGTCAAGAGGATTTATAATCAGTTTTACTTTCATCTCACGTCTATTCGTGAGTGGATAATAAATTCATTTTTATGTAAGTACAATTTTATTTTATTAATGTAAATAGATAAAGTCATGATTGTCAATAATAAAACTACTTGGATTGATAATGATAATATCTGTATTTTTTTCACATTTGAAATGAAATGGGGTTTAACGTCCCACATTTCTGGACCGACTGGGCCAGTGAAGACGGGCATGCGCCATACAGCGTGCTCGGGGGACATTTTGCTCGGGCAGTGGCGCTATGGTCATCTCTTATGTCGAATTGCAACTGTCAAGAGTTCATTTAAGTGTACGCCAATGTGTACACGGGACCTCTTTTATTCGCCCCATCCAAACGACTAGACAATGGAAAATTCCCGAGGAACTTTCTAGGCCAAACTTAACATGAACCTGGTTAGCGAGCCAGCGTTCTAATTCATTGAGCAACCGCGGCTTATCAACAGCAATACTTCCATCTCATAATAATTTCTTTCTTTTTGTTAATTGCTATCGGCTTATAATATCAATCTCGTTCGTTTAAATCAGATTACTATAATCAATAAAATCAATTCCAAACTAGAACTGCATGAAAGCAGTACTGGCGTGTGTCGATGACATGTGTCAACATTTATTCCAAGTTCCATTAACAGCTAACACCCTGCCCATGCATTGAATATAATTAAAGTTTTACATAGAAATTTTTCACGAAATTTTAACTAAGATAAAATTCAAATTTTAGTTATTTGATTGGATAATATTAGATTGATTTTAGTGCTTAGTCAATCAAAATTGAAGTATCAACTAAAATTAGGATTTTTTCTTTACTTAGGATTTTGAGAAACAGTGTCCAGGTTGGTGTTTAGTCAAAATCAACACTATTTGATTTGATATCAGTGATCGAATGAAAGGTCATTTCACATTGGCAACACGTTACTGAACAATCTGACAGTTACTGAGTTAGCAGTCAAAACAATAGTCCAAAGAGCTGTCGCCAGAGCAAAATTTTCCCTATAGCACACTGCATGGTCATTTGAAACAGACGATGGGGTGTGGAATCATTAATCGCTCAACAGAGTTATGTTCAAGATCAAGCTTGTCGATCACCAGTCGCTAATGGCCGTGCATGTGATAGGTGTATGCCTTCCCAACCTTGAAGATTTATTCCAATTTCCACCAACAACAATCACCCTGCGCATGCAAAGAATATAATTTAAGTTTTCATAGAATTGTCCTCAAATTTTCAAATGGCCTGGTTTGAGTATAGTCAAAATCAACACTATTTTTTTTGATATCAGTGCTCGAATGAAAGGTTATTTCACATTGGCAACACGTTAAAGAACCATTTGACAGTTGGCAGTCAAATCAAATGCCCATATCGCTGCCGCCAGGGCGAAATTTTTCCCTTAGGCCTATAGCCTACCGTTATAGCACACTGCGTGGACAAAAGTCGATGAGTCTCTCCCCCCTCTCTCCCTCTCTCTCTCTCTCTCCTATTAAAAGTTGAAAACAAATTGTCGGTGTAAAGCGGCGTTTACACGATACAACTCATCAGACAAATTTGTATGGGTAGGATCAGTTATATTCTCATCCGACCAACTGGTGCACCAACCAAATTGCGTTATATTAGTCAACGTCATACGATGGTATGACGTCATATTTGACTTGGCAACCAGAAAGATGTCGTCTTCTGTCGTTTCAAGTAGCCTACTCAGACGTACTCTTAAAATGGATCTAAACCTATCCGCGACTGAATTAGAATATCTAATAACTCGGTATAGAAAGCATGGATTTTGTGGAATCCGCGGCAGCAAAACTACACGACGACGGAGATGAGAAGTGTCGCCTTAGGGTCTATTGTTGCCATTTTATTCAGTTTACTAAGAAGGGACAAATTTTATTTTGCCATACAAGGATAAAACCGTTGTATCGTGTAAATAGTCGTCCAATATGTTGCATCCGACGGTTGTATGGATTGATTGTATCGTGTAAACGCCGCTTAAGCGATAGAAGACGACGTCTTTTCTGGTTGCCAAGTCAGATATGACGTCAGTTGGTCGGATGAGAATAGAACTAGGGGCATCCGGTGGCTGTATGGATTGGTCGTATCGTGTAAACGCGGCTGTACCATTTGGTGCGGTTAGTCGGGGGTTCGAATCACAGCGAGGTCAAACTCGAATTTGCTTCTCTTTAACCGAGAAAGTACCATGATCCGCTATTTGTGAGTAATTGTACCGGTTTTTTTTTTATATAGGCCTACGGCTACGTCGAAACCTTCAATCAATTACTGATTGTTTATATCGAGGTTTTCAGATATTATTGTTTATCAATTGCAAAAATAGCTCAGTGATTAAGTAGGCCTATGTACCATCGGGTCTCATGGAGGTGAAACTCGATTTTTTTTTCTCTTTCTCTTAATAAATAGTGAACCATGTTTTTATTTTTTTTTTACACTGGTTGAAACCTTCAATTAACCTATTCACCGAGAAATCAATGTTATTGAATAATAGTGTAGAAATTCAAAGTTATCAAATAAAGTACGTATTTATCGATGGTTTTGTAGATCAGTCGTTTCACGGTTAGTACGTTAGACTGGCGTTCAACACGCATAGAATTTGTCCAAATAATCCAAAAATGAAAACCCAACGAAGATCCATTGAGAAATGACCGAGATTTGGGCAATTTTTGTACTATCCGTAAAACTATTCCGATATTTATACTAATAAATAGGTTCGCGGAGGCCAACAAACTTTACGATTTCAGAATATTTGCACCATGCACAGTTTCGGCTGCAACTTCTGACTAAAAAATCCCGAAAGAGAATAAAAAGTGTTACGAAAACAATACGTGTTTCGTGCAGAGAAAGTATCAAAACACGTAATTAGCCGCAATCAATCAGTTCTCAAATCAATCAAATTCAAGGAACAAAAGGTCATAATCCATTAAATATCCGCCTTAAAAAAAAGCTTGACAAGAATGGCGTTACGAATCGATTTGGGTTCATGGAAAGGTTTCTCTAATATATTTTCTTCTTCACGAAATCGTAATCTTTTTATACCATTGATTGCTCAATCGATAGTGGGATCATGACAATATTGTAATACACAGTTCTGAATGAACAGTATTGACGGATTACTGATATCACATATTAGTGTATTATAATTCCACATTTATATTTTCAGAAGCAGTGGTGTAGTGCAGATATAGGCTACAGTCCACACATGAACGGAGCTGTACACGACGTTTTCCTTAAACAAACTTATAACAAACTGTAGGGTATGCCATTCCAGTACAAGTCAATTTATGTGAAGTGATTGACAAAATGTGATATAAATAACTTTTAAATCAGTGGCTTATTTACATAACTGAAAAACAACATGTGATTTCGTAGTATATAAATTTGCATAACTGGATTTTTAGTGGTTTGTGAAAGGTGATTTGGTGTCCATCATTATATGATTAGCCAATGAAGATTTCGTTGAAAACGTGATTAAAGTGATTAATAGAAAAGGGATTGACAAAACAGTGATGGAGGAAAGGTGATTAGGAAATCAAAAGATTGCTCTGTACAAAATTTAAAAATGGCAGATTTGTTGGATGATGAAACTTGGGACTTTAGTTCCATAGAAGATTTAAATCAAGAAGCGACTTTATGTCTACGGTCCGCCATGGTTTATGAAAGAAGAAAGCGATGGCAAAAGGTGGGAATGAAGTTCTTTGATCAGATAATTGCATATACAGGTTTCAAATACTGGAATTCTATCATATTTTCAGTCATGTAGGGGGGCCTTAACCACAGACGTTGGTACATATTGCCACTTGAGATAGTGCCCTTTAAGACGACTTGATATTAGTAATAAGTCATAATGATTAGTCTAGTTAATGTCTGAAAGTTACCTGTATTAACAACTTTCTTTAATCAGCCATCCCAAAATAATTAAAAATGTTATATAAATATTGGTCACTGTATCACTGGATGATAAAATGAATAGAATCTTTATGTTTGGCTAATAACTGCAAAAGGTTTGTTAAAGGAAAGATATGGCGGGTGGGGTGGTTGGGAGTCAATGACAATTAATCTGTGAACCATGCTCTGATCTTTAATTTAAATAAAACGTAGATTTAAGACTTCCATGGTGTTGCCAAATTTCTGGTTCTTTTTTAAACAGTCAAACCAGTACTCTTCACATCTACCTAGTATATGCTTTATGATGTATTTTGGTTTGAACCTTGTTAGACAACTTATTCCTACCATTTACATGCAGTGAATTAACGAGCATTTTATTATAAAACCATACAAAAAATATATAAAGACATGTATAATGGTTATTACCCACGACAATAAATAAATAATAATCGTGTTTATAGGTCAATAATAACTGGATACATGTATACACAGATACATCATAAATTGTTAAAGAAGAAATATTGATAATCCTAATAAATAGGTGTAAAGAATGTGGGTAATTAGGTCAATAGGTGACACACCGACGTGTTTTATTTGTATAAAAGATTAACAATATTATTGTGAAAGGTCAAATCAAAATCAAGAATCTGGAAAACAAAAAGTGAAAACACTACTTTGTGGTATTTACATTAACATACAGTTTTATACAAATTATTTTAAATACTCATTTTGAAGTTATGTTTTTTTTTGTTTTAACAGTATTTTGACATGAGTTTTCCTTTGGTGTATAGTAACCTAACCTAATAATATTTATGTAAAATGAATGTTTGGGGTATAACTGTCTTTGATTATACACATAATAGATCAGTTAACTTTTTAACATATTAATGATGAACTGAAAAATAAATATCATTATCTGTATAGTAAGAAATTCATAAAATTCATGTACGCGTTTCCGTCGGCGAAAAAGTTGGAATAATGCAATTGCAAATATAATGGGACCGCAAGTTTCTTGATGGGCAACTTTTTTCGCGTGAGGTGTGTGAATGTGGAGGTTTACATTCTGTAATTTCTGACGTACAAACACGGGTTCCCTTCCACTAAGTTAATGAACCGCCTTGTTTCTGCAAATTCAGCTTGCAAATGGCAGATTATGTGGATATGGTGCTCTTATAAAAAGGCAGTGACTGAACGGTAACAATGACCGAGGTCAAATGCAGTGTTGAAGTAAATAGTTATGACGTACTGTAACACTAGTGTAACTAGTTTCCAAACTTTTGACCTCAAATAAAGTGTGAAGCCAAAAAGGGAGATAATTACCGCTTTATTTTCATTCAACTGTGGATAAAATTACAAGGTAAAGTCTCCAGAGAACACTAGTGTTACTGGAATCAAATTCAAACATGGCTTCCGCTTATCCTGCTTCGATAATTTCTTGGTTTATTTCTAAAGAATTGACTCGAACCAATATCCAATTTTGTGTGTTTTGGGACTTTTGATAATGAATAAAGATATTTGACGACAAAATAACAACACGTTATGACCAGCGGTTACCAGGCAAGATACGCCCACATTTTGCAAGAGATGGATAGAGAACAAGCTAAAATATCGATTTTTCGTACAATCAAGGTCCATAATGCAGGAAATTATGGTCTGAAATGTGCGAATATCGACATGGACTGAGATATTTGGGATATAAAGATATATTTTGAAGTTTCATCAAAATCAGATAAAAATTGTGACTACTAAAGAGCCCACAACCTTGATATTACATACTTTTTACAATATTTGCGTACAAGGAGCGGCCATTTTGTCAAGCAGTTTCGGTCTGATTTTGTCAGCTGCCCCCCCCCCCCGCCTAACTTTCGGGCAATCTAACTTTTCGGGCAGACGGGTCAAGTGAAAAAAAAAGTATTTCATCTAGTTGGCAAAATAAAGTGCCCCAAATCTAATGAAACACAAATTTGACTTTTCTTTTAATTGAATACCACGAATTTGTACTGAATTGACTATGGATTAAAACATTTTGTCTGGAGTCAATCTACTTTGTGCGACATTTTCGGGCATCGATTATTATTTGTGAATGCAGCTGCAACAGTCTGAATGAATGACTGGAATTCAGGTCGGCATTTGGTGGGATTTCGGTTACAAAACTATTGGACAACTTTGGAGTTGCTTAACTCACGGGCTAGAATAGCGGCGGTTACATTTTCAAAATTTTCTCCGGGAGGGCGAGGTCCCATACCCCGCGACAATTGTTTGTTTATTTGAGCTTCGAGTCAGCCACCTAAGGTAGGCTATATTGGACCACATTGAAGTTTTTGTATTCAAGGGCTGGAATAACAGGGAAACGCTCGGTAGTTAAATTTTCAAAATTTTCTTCCGAGAGTCCCGTTTCCGCGAACTGTAAACGATTGATTGGTTGATTGGAATTCGACGAATCAGCCACCTAAATTAATCTTATTACTATTATTAGACTACTTTAAGTTGCTGTGTATTCACGAGGGGGGGGGGGGAGCTTTTCGAGTTCTGTCCTTCTAACAATCATCCGGTCGATTAACCCCAATTCATTTGTATCAAATTGAGATGTTCCTGTGATCTTAGAGGCCACTTCGTATAATGATGTAATACAGATTCTGTCATTTTCTAAGCTAAAAAAAAACACTATTCACTATTATGATTTGATGATTTTTCTTTTTTGGTATAATAAGCGAGGTCTGGTATATTAAATTTATGATTGATTTTCACGTGTATTTTTTTTAAATCTCAGGCCATAGACTGTTATGAGAAGCTTCTGTGGTTGGTGGATTTAAAACACTTACCTAGTAATTATGAAGCACCACCATCATACGATATGTTGGTAAGATTTTATAGTCTATAATTCCAGTAATTAATTGAAACTTTCAATTCTCCATTAATTCCATTGGTACTTTCAATTTTAATTGATACTTTCAATTTTTCATTGATACTTTCAATTTTTCCTTTATACTTTTTATTGTTATGTCAACCCTTTTTTATATATATTGCGGGTTTTTTGGGGGTTTTTTTTTTTGGGGGGGGGGGGGGTCGTTGCAATTCAATAAATGGATTAAAAAATGGTACTGAATAAATGCTATGCTAACCATAATTTTATTGTTGTCGCTTATTATAGTTAAGAATAATTGTAAATCTGAAAAGGTTACTATGTTAATCAGATAGTATCATCAGATAGTATTTAAAGTATATTATTTTATACTTTTTATTGTTATGTCAACCCTTTTTTATATATATTGCGGTTTTTTTGGGGTTTTTTCTTTTTTTTTTGGGGGGGGGGGGTCGTTGCAATTCAATAAATGGATTAAAAAATGGTACTGAATAAATGCTATGCTAACCATAATTTTATTGTTGTCGCTTAATATAGTTAAGAATAATTGTAAATCTGAAAAGGTAACTATGTTAATCAGATAGTATTTAAAGTATATTATTTTTTTAGCTATATGAACTGTATAATCATCTAGGGGTAGCTTATCAACATATGGGACGACATAAGAAGGCAATGACACAATATACCAAAGCATTTGAAATAGTTTCAATACCAAAGGTATGTATTCCGTTAATTAGCTTAAGATATTAATAAGATATTAATTTTCACCTTAGGTGATTAGATTTTTTGTTCATTTTCGACCGTAACTTTTGGCATGCACACCGATTTAAGGAATGCTTTCTCGCCAAACTTGTTTTAATTGAATACCGCTCATCTTAAGAGAAATTTACAGTTTAATTGTAAAACCGTGCAAAATCATTTTTTCCCACCAAACGTCCACTTTATTGACTAGATTCCTCGATACAAACTTTCACTTAAGGCCCGGTCCCACTGCACTTACGGATGCAAAGAGGATGTAAAACGGGGAAAAAACGTGCCCTCCGTTTGAAAACGCCATGCATCCGTTGTGTACGCGTTGCATACGTGTTTCATACGCTCTATCCATCGAGCATCCGTTCTTTTTGAGCTGCACAAAACTTTTATGACGGATGCACTTTCTGCCGTGTACGATGTAAATGCGCGACATATACGAGCACCAAACGTTCCATGTCCGTTATCATCCGTTAAACGTCCACTGTATTCTCTCTGCATCCTCTGGGCATCCTCGCAACTCACATCCGCTCCAGCTGAAAACGGAAAGAGGGAGGAAAGATAAGGTACATGGAGCGTCTATACATCGTTAGTAGCACGGAAAGGATGTAAGCGTATGCATCTCGTATATAAAGTTTTCAAAACGGACAAAGCGTTTGTATCTGGGATGTATCTGGTATATTGAAGGATGTCTGGAGTTTGCCTAACCCCTTCGGAGCTGTCATCCACTCCCATGCGCTTTCATCCGCTAGGCTTCCGATGAACATCCATTTAACATACCCGCTACATACTTCCCACGTTTTTCTTTTCCGTTCTGTTTTCGCAAATTTTCGTCAATTTTGTCCATTTCTGGAGCGGATGAAAACGGATGGAGCCATCTCCGAAAGTTTGCTCGTCCGCTGTGTCCTTTTTGCATACGTTTTGTGTCAATCGGCCACAGGGACCGGGCCTTTATGAGTTTACGCGTACTTTTCACGCGTGTCGCATGCTTGGCAGAATATTCATTCTAGTATTGTGTAAAACAGGTTCTGTTGAAATTTTTGATATCTGGCAAACTTGATACGCAATATCAATACAAACATTATATTTTGTATACTATACACCCCCGTCACACCTGTCTTTAAATTATTAAAGGACTACTGCTGTTGTTTCAGATTTTTAGAAATATTTTTATTAAATATGTCATTTCGCCGTATATGGTTTAAATTAACAGCGAATAACATATTTAAGAAGTGTTATTTCTTATTTGTCTCATTATTTTGTTAGAATGGTTGTCTAGCTGGTTGTGTAACTAATTGTTGTTTAATGACACCTATTATGACAAGAAGAGCCTTTGCTTATACTAAAATAGGTAAGAATATATACATTTTTCATTTAAACTGTTATATTGTAAAACTGTTTTAGTAACATCTAAAGATACTATGTTCGCAGAAAATCCCTTTGTATCTATGTATAAGTTGGCCTTAAGTTTTCAAGAGCTCCCCCCCCCCCCCAAAAAAAAAAAAAAAAAAAAATTCCAGGCCAAACAGACTTAAGAAATGTTGACTTTTGAGCATCATCGATTACTGCAGTAACCTATTTGTTTTTTTTATTAATTTTATTAATGTGATATTTACAGGAAATGTAGCCAGTGCATTAAAAGATGCAGAAAAAGCTGTAGTTTTAGACAGTAAAAACCCCGATGTTTATTGCATACGGGCACTTGTTAGAGGTTCCCGTGACGAAGAGAACATGGTAAGTCACACAAGAGACTGAATGGCATGATTTATCCTTGCATCGGTCAGAGTTAATTCCCTTTTATTTATTTTTTGGATATGCTGTTTTAGATCTTTAGTGCCCAACTCACTGGAATTCTCAGTAGTGTATGACTCAAAGCGTGCATTGTTGAATGCTTTCACTTCTCTCGAATTTTCCATTCCCAGGACTTTGATCAAGTTCCGCTGTCAGAAGATATAAATATATCTCTGACAGCTAATATGAAAATCCAAAATGAACAAAGTTACGAATCTGTCATTTATATTCTCTTACAGGTAGATTATAATGACTTCCATTTAATATATTTCAGGCGTTAAAGGACATAGACATGGCTTTAAAGATAAACCCTAAAAGTGTTTGTGCTTTAATGATAAAAAGTGCTATAACAAGACCACTGGTAAGTCTTTTATTATCTGTTCATGTTTTCAGGTCGAATTTTCTGTAATCTTTGTCATATATTTCGTTATTTATTTTATTAATTTGTCAATTTTTTTATAAACGTTTATATCGTAGCAACAATTTGTCACAAATACATAACGTATCGTCCTCCTATCACGATATCACATATGCGTTCATGTGATAAACGTATTCACAGAGGCTTAAGTATTTTTATGCGCCCACAATAAAGGTGGATATATTGTTGTAACCATGCTCGATGTCAACGTTTTTGTGGACCCTGTTGGAAGGATATTTCATTTAAATTTTATTAGCTGTTTAACTGTCGTTGTACGGGTAGAGCCCTGTGACGCGTATTCTGAAACCGGAAGTGGTATATCTTCGAAACCTGAAGTGGTGGTGCAAAGCCATTAGAACAATGTCACGCCTCAGCTCGATTTACGATTATACCCAAAATTTTAGCCTTGGGATAGCCTACGCCAACTCAGAACCGTTAGCATTTCTGTCGCGGTAGTCGATGGTCGACTTGGTTATACAGAGTGTAATGTTTTGGGTGTTGTTAGTTAGAAAATACCGCAAGAATAATTATATCACAGAGCCTGGAGAATAAAGTTTATTAATATTGTAGTCCTGGGTGTTTTTTTTACATCTTGTTGGATTTACGTGAAACATCGTTTCGCACTTATTCCAATTTTGTATTGTATTTTCTGTACAACTGCCATTTTCTAGAAAGAAGCTTTCCAAGAAATGTATCAATTTACTACAGAAATTTCGGTAAACGTAGATTAAAAGCACTTATATAAGGAAATCTTCTCCTTCTTCTTCTTTTTCTTCTTCGTGATCAACATGCGTACTTCTGTCATATTATCTATTATGTGTTTCCATGTTCTTTATTTAATTAACATCAAATGGTTAATGTATTTGTACTGTCTGGGGGAATCATCGACGACTTTATTAAGAAACGATGGTTTTCCTCGAATGTTATCAATGGTGTAATTTAACTGTATATTTGTATTGCATGTTATATTGTTTATGTATTCGTTGTTCTCATCCATACCCCATCCTTCACTTTCAACAAATAACAACACATCTAACACATACTTCACAACGAACGAGCAAGTCGTCCTTTTCCGAGAATGGGTGATGATCCCTTATTTCTTTGATCGAAGAAAATACAGGTTGTAAATTATATGTAACTTTCATTTTTCAAATCATAATCACTGCAGCTACCGTATGCATTACTTGGATTGAATACAGACAGCCAAGATATATTTCACATTCAGGTAATCAATAGGATATAGATAGAATAGACATAGATTTACATATTATGAACGGCATGCAATAGAATATAGAAATACATGGCCGGATTAAGGGTTTTGTTTTATAGTATAGATATAATATAGTTGTTTTTAGTTATATTGCAAAAATCGATTTACAGCAGAACTCAATAAAGCCATGTTAATGTCTTAGTTCGGATTCTATTAGTCTAAGCCCATCAAAGTTATTAAGATAAGATATTGCTATATACTGTATGACAATTGTTCATTAATACTGGGAGGTACGATAGCTCTGTGAATAAGGCGCATGTTAACTAACCAGCCCTCTCTGGTCTAGGTAACATTTCCCTCATCATAGCATGCAACACACCTTCATTAGCCCGTTGGAGAAACTCAGAAAGTGGGGCTTTAAAGTTACAATTTCATATTTTTAAGTTATATTTTTAAAATGTATTAAATTAAGCCCTAAAATAGATGGTATCTATAAACAGCCCTACCTTGTTAAAGAATAATCCTATTAATCATATATAATTCACTATTGCCAGTTGAGAAATTGGCAAATATATCATTTTCAACTTCAAATTCAAACGTTTGAAGATAGCTATTCCATGGTGGGAATAGGAAAACAAGGGAGGTAATTGAGAGGTAATTGTGTTAATATTTCCGGTGTTATGATTTTTTAAGTGTGAGAATGAGACCTATGATCGCATAATAGTGAGTTGACAACCTATTGAGCAAAAGACATAGAAATAATTATGTTTTGACTTTCTTAGAAAATATGAAATTGTAACTTTAAGACACATTTTATTTCAATTAGTGATTAGTTACTCAACAATGTGTATACAAATTAAAGTTTTGTTTCGGAAAATTCAGCGGAAGTCGGTCTGTTTACTTAATTTTTTTTGGTTTTGTCTTTCCGTGTCGACACAAGAACATAGAAATCGATATCTCAAAATGAACTATCTAAAATTGTAATCTAGACACAGACATATAATTTTTACTGTTTAACTTAGTTTCCTATCGTACGTTGTCGGTCGATGCACACATGAGTCGAATTTTGTGTGACAATGGGCTTTTTCTTTGCGTGCGTGTGTGTGTGTGTGTGTGTGTGTGTGTGTGGGGGTACTCATCTTTTCTTGTTGTTCTTGTTCTTTTCCTTGGGGACGAAGCTCGAGAAGACAAACCAAGGCTCCGCTAATTCAAGTATAATTGACTAGATACATGTTTGTTTCTTGCTCAAATGGGAATCGATTGACGTCAGAATTCGGGGATGGCCGCAATTGCGTCGTACTTGTAATATGGTTCAGCAAAAATAAATGTTACAGTCAATTTTGAATTAATTTTGAATCCATAGAGTAGAAATTTCTTAGTTTATTCAATAACAAAAATAATTTAACTTTGCATGTTCTCTTTAAAATTGTACTAACCCTTAATATTTGAATATTTATTTTCGAGCATGAATTGTTGATTTTCTTAATTAAATCAGTTTATCATTCATTATATAAAAATATCATTTTTTTATTCGGTAAATTCATCTTTTTTTTTCATATGTTATCTCTATGTATCAGTATATTCTATGTCATTATTCTTTATGAATAACAGGATTTATTTAGCTGTTATGATTCATATACAACACAATCTGAATAAAATACAGATCTAAGGTCGCGTCAGAGGTCATACGAGCTCGTATGATCCCTTAATGCAGCCTTCGACTACAACCTGTCAAATCTTCATGTAGTGGAGGCCATTGAAAGTATAAAAAACGAAACGAAATATAGATCTGTTTTTAATCAGATTGAATATTTATATTTTATTTATTAAATGTGAAACATCTCTTTAGGCAGAGAAAATGAACCCATCAACGCAGAATTTTAATTCAGTCACAAGTTTTCATCATCCATCTATTTTAGAATTCTTTGATAGGTGAGTGGCTTTCACTTATTTTACATGTTCCCAATGTTCTTAACTGTCGTCATTCATGTCCGCCCCTTAGTTGTTTTAACACATGTATTTTTTTGATAAATATGCGATACAAAGCCTTTCGAAGACTTGGGGGGGGGGGGGGCGGACTCAGCTTTTGAACAGTGTGTGGTGTGAGATGTTGTGTTTCGGATACAGATACGGTGGGAGGGGATTCCGAAATTTCGAAGGCTCGGAAAAACTGACACAATCGATTAGGGTTTAATAATTACCAGGTTATCAGTCTGAGACCTTCACCTTTATAGGAGCTATCTCCACTATAATTTATAGCACTTAATGGGACTATGGAGTGGCGATGGCTCAGTGAGTAAGACGTCTCGCTAACCGGGAGATCTCTGGTTCGCTCCTGAGTGTTGGTCGACAAAGTTCATCGGAATTAGAATTAGAATTCAGTGTAGGTCCATTTCAGTCAAAATTGTTGTTGTTATCTTGCAGGGAAAATATGAGATCCAAATATTCAATACAACACAATGGCATTTTAAAACCAGTACACGATGCCGTGTATTCTATGGGCTTGATGATTTCGAGTGCCATTTGTACTGAACAAAGAAAAATACCCCAAAAGAACATTGCGGAAGTAATTAAAAATGGCTGATTTATAAACGGCAAAATCGTAATAAAAACCCGTGTAGAATGGACTAAGCAGGCGCAAACCACTGCCCTTCAATTTGGGCTGTTCGAGTGTAATTACAATAAAAATTTAAAAATTGAATGTAAATAATTTTATATACGTGCATATGATATTAATATGTGCATGTAGACAAATTCTAGTCTATTTTAAGATTCCAAAGAATAGAACTATACGCCATTCTAAAATTTAATAAATATGTTTAACCGATGTTCAATTTAGGTTTTTCTTTACACTGAGTGTTCCTCATACGATAACAGAAGTTAATTTAAGACCAGTTCGATCAACTAGACGACAATTAGGTGAGTTCAAGCTATTGAGTTATTGTGTGTGGTTGATCATGACTATTGTGTTGTGTAATTTTATATCTTGATAACGGTTAGGTTTAAATATTAAGGCCAACTACAGATTTGATCAACGGTCACAGGAGGTAAACAGGGCTAGAGCTAACCCTACCCCTAAACCTAGCTAAAACCTTATCCTAACCAACAATCTCACCAACAATCACGTATCCTAGGCCTGTTTACATCGACCATGACGAAATCTGCATTTGGTTCTAATTTTTAGTCGTTACCTTTGATAACGTCAATTATAGTCATCACCCAACAATATGTATAGGATATTAATCTATCCGAGGTTGATATGATAAGAGAACACGCGGGCGAAGACATGGAGTATGGATAACGGATTTAAATATGCCGACAAGTACGCCGTCTATTTCGGTCCTGAGTGTTACAAACTGTACCATAACAATTTTTAATTGTCAAAAGAATAAAAATTTATTTCATTGCTTTTTGTATTATTTCGATCATCTACGTCATCAGCGGTTGATATGAGCCGAATATATCGACCTGAGATGACGTCATTAGCGGTTGATATGAAATTTCATCCTGTCATGACGTCATCAGCGGTTGATATGAATCGAATATGTCAACCTTTGATGACGTCATGACAGGTTGTTATGAGATATGACTGCTATGGACATCAAAGAAAAAACTACCGCCAGTTGTATATCTTGATCTAACGACCATTGATGGATTTCAAGTTAATGAAATCGGGGTTTATTTAATTCAACCAATCATACTCAAACCCTACATACAATATATAGAATCACGTTTTGGTTTTAACGTTATCACAAATGGCCACAAAACAATGGTCTGTATATCAAACAGGCGACTTTATTGGCCAATAAGTTTTTAACGCCGACATTAAAGACATTATGTCAGATGTCAATGTTGTAAAACATAAAATAAAATTCAATGTAATTTAAATAATATGACTTTAATGAGATTGGGAAATATATATTTGCCGCGATATCTCTCTCCTGATTCTCATCTAGTCAAATTCATCGGAAACATTTCTCTGCGATATTATTCTTCGTAGCGTATGCCGTTCCAGCGTGGTTTCTTCTTGTAAGTGATGCAGAGAGGTGAGCCTGGCACGGAACAGCGTCTAGTTGTTCGGATGGGACAAAAACCGAGGCCCCGTGTACACGTTAGCGTGGGCACACAATTTCCCTCATAGCACACAGTATGGCGTTTGTCAGTCTTCATTACCCCGGTTGGTGCAGAAAAGTAGGACGTTAAACCCTATTTCATTCATTCAGCGTGTGTCGCAAATTATCTGATATACATTTGGAATACGAATATCTTTTATATACATAAAAATAATACAAAGTATGCTAGATTTTAAGGTGTGTCCTCACTGTGCCCACTTTTGATTAATCCAATTAAGGTCTAATTAGGATTAGTGGATTAAGCGGATTAGGATTAGGTGTTATAGGTAATTAGATGGAAAAAAACCCCAAATATTTTATGTAATTTTTTTTTTATTTTTCGATGTTTTATATATATTTAATAAAAATATAACATACATGGATATATCATACATCACATTAGCACTTTATAATTTAATGAAAATATAACAATTTTCGATGTTTTATATATAAAATATTTAATAAAAATATAACATACATGGATATATCATACATCACATTAGCACTTTATAATTTAATGAAAATATAACAATTTTCGATGTTTTATATATAAAATATGTAATAAAAATATAACATACATGGATATATCATACATCACATTAGCACTTTATAATTTAATGAAAATATAACAATTTTCGATGTTTTATATATAAAATATGTAATAAAAGTATAACATACATGGGTATATCATACATCACACAAAAACAAGATAAACAATGAAAATTTACAATGTAGTTAAACGGGCTACGCCATCGGCATACTGGAATACAGTCTTTATACCGTTCTGAAGATCTGTTTTCAGAGTTTGGAGTCGGGTTTCTAGTTGCCTGTACTTTCTTCTCTTAGGCCGTAATTTTCCGTTGGCACCTAACTGGAGAATGGTTACTTCGGAGTAAGCTTGTTCATTCTTAAAAAAAGCCACCAACTTAAAAATATTTGGGTGAGGGGTGGCAATAATGGATGTTATCTTGGAATGCCATCCTTCAACATGGTTCGTTGTGCGTGGACCTTCAGTGTGGAAATGGTTCCACATCATTCTGCCATGCTGCCCCTCCACCTAGAACTCAGTTACGTAATCTGCAAATTGCAACACTCTGGCATCTTGGAGTGGTGCATCATCAAGGGCATGCAGCCATACATCTTCAACCTGCTGTATTGGAATTAATGGTAATGCTGCTGCTTGCTTGACGATTTTATTGATTTCTGGCACCCGAGAACAATCTGCTTGTAGTCCATATTTCTGCGCATTGCGCCAAATACACTGACCAAAGTGAAAAAAACAACCTTTTAGTTCTGACCTCGGCAACACAGTTCTCACAGCATTTTGCATACTAACTTCGAAATCTGTAAACACATGGCCTGGGTTAAGATTAACATTGACAAGTGCCAATGTTTTGTCTCTAACACATCTGAGGAACTCAACATATGTTGCCTCCTTCTTATCGGGTAATAGTGCATACACCAAAGGGAACATTTTATTGTGTACAAAAGCATGTATAGTGTAGATCTGGGTGAATAAGGTAGGACTCATGCTAAATGTTCCATCACAGTATATAGTGTCTGCATTGGCGAGATGGTAAAGATTTTCTTGTGTGGAAAACACTAGAAGCCTGTTGTCGGCTGCTGCGTGGAGAAGGAAGTCGTCTCCGGATGTGGTCTTGGTGTAAGAATCTGGAAGCTGGATATCGTTGCGGGTCTGAGGAAGTGCTGGGAGGATCTTTGCTCGGGCTCTATACAGGGAAGCACAGCAACTATAGAATGTTGGAATCTCTCTGATCATCTCACCTGAGTCACGGTCAGATCGAAGGGCTGTAAACAAACAAAAAGAAAATATTTATTATACATATTATTATATCATTAATACTCGACCAGACACTCGATTGGTTTGTTACGGAAGAACATGTTCAGTATGCTTTAACGTTGAATCATTTAAATCAACGGCACACAACATTAGAGATAAATACATACCTGATACTTCTTCTTGATAGATGGCACAGACTGGTTTGGTTTCCTCTTGCACCTTGGTTTTCATGGCAACGAGAAATTTGTCGACTGCCACCTTGTGTGGGTTAGCAACATGGTTGTGGTTTCTGGAATATTTGGTAATAAAGCCTTGGTGGGTGTTCAGGGTTGCTGGACAACCTTTTATACAACATCTCCAGTATACTCGTTCTGCCTTCCTATTCTTCACTCGGAATTTGTATTCTTCATGGACTAAGTTTTCTCCACCTTGAGCATTGGGGATGTACTGGATGTTTACTTGAACGTTTGCCATGATGAAATATGACAGACTGACTTCTGTGTGTCCTTATAAAGACCGTGTAATGTGTAGGCTTACTAAACATAATTCATATTATATTCAAGTGTCATTTTTTGAATAAAATTCATCACTTTAACGATTACAGTGAGTTCATCTCACCAATTATAAGACTGAATATTTAGTCACTTTCAATATTTGTTTTTTTCCATCTAATTACCTATAACACCTAATCCTAATCCGCTTAATACACTAATCCTAATTAGACCTTAATTGGATTAATCAAAAGTGGGCACAGTGAGATGTAACCTATTTTAATCTGGTGTGGAAATTTAAAAAAAGATATATAAACGAAACGAGACTGTAATCAAATTTTAATTAGATTCTTACTTTTCAGGCTTGTGTTGAAATATTTAATATAAAATCGAACTGATGTTTGTCAGTGGAAATCAAGAACTTATAAATGCAGTCTGATCAAAATACAGATCTATATTTCGTTTCGCTTTTTTTATTTTTATACTTTTGATATTCTCCATTACATAAAGATTTTACCAGTTGTAGTGGGGGGTTGTGTCAGGGATCATACCAACGACTTTTGTCCCTTTGGCGTCAGATATTTGATTTACTAATCAGCGTTGATGGTTCTATACTGGAATATCCACAGTTCCGTGCCCCGCACGCCAAAAACTCACCGTAACAGACCGTTTCATTGGCTAATCCCTCACATCAACCAGTTCGCGGGTTATAATAACAACTCTTCCCGATCCTAGTGTAGTAAAGACAAGTAAAACGACATTTTGAACAATAAAAAACGAAACGAAATAGGACCTGTGTTTTAATCAGATTGTTATAAATCCAGTACGGCATAACACTGGTGTTCGACGATATATAATACGCGCTTGTCAAGTCCAATATTTTGACATATTTAGCGGCCATACGGCATCATCGCGTGATGTAAATTGTCTTTATAAAAGTTGAACGACCTCAACATAACGTTTACTAATCAAATTGTGTACGTCATTAAATTATTTAAATTGTTTAATACAAATCCCAAATATTAATAGTAAACTTTGGTTTGTCGCTAATTCTTGACAATCAGGAACTCTTTTGATCCAGACCCGTCTTTTCAGCAGTAAATACATAATTCATTAGACCGGTGGATTATGTTTCAGGGCCAGAGACCTGTATATTTTTAGAGTATTGCCTCGACGATTTATAGCAGCCAAAGACCTGTAGATTTTTAGAGTGTTACCTCGACGATTTTTAACAGCCAAAGCCCTTTTATACATACAGATTTTTAGAGCTTTACCTCGACGATTTATAGCAGCCAAAGCCCTTTTATACATATAGATCTTTAGAGCTTTACCTCGACGAATTATAGCAGCCAAACACCTGCCAAAGCCCTTTTATACATATAGATCTTTAGAGCTTTACCTCGACGAATTATAGCAGCCAAACACCTTTTATACATGCAGATTTTGATTTTTAGAGTGTTACCTCGACGATTTAGAACAGCCAAAGCCCTTTTATACATACAGATCTTTAGAGCTTTACCTCGACGATTTATAGCAGCCAAAGCCCCTTTATACATGTAGATCTTTAGAGCTTTACCTCGACGAATTATAGCAGCCAAACACCTATTATACATGCAGATTTTTAAAGTGTTAACTCGACGACTCATAGCATCATAGAGTTTTACGAAATAGACTAAACTTTTCAATGTCCGACAAGGATTATTCTTGATAAAATGACATGCTTACTTTCATTGACGCTTTCACAAACACACACTAGCCTTTTTACTATTAACTATAATCCACTAATGACTGATAATATCTTGTTAGATTCGTTCATTGACATTCATAATTAGCAGACGTTAAGGATAGGCCACCGACACAATTCTTATAAGTGTACCTCATTCTATAACTGCTAATTAGCTCAAAATAAATGTCTTGTTTTTTTTTTGTTCAACAGACATTTCCGAAGAGACAAAGCGACCAAAGACAGCCCAGCCTCGTCTACAAAATCAGACATGTTGTTCTACGTCACCAGAAGAACCATTTAGATGTGGCACCGCCTTCTCATTCCGACAATCGGCATCAGCCACAAGACGGAAGGAATATGGCCAAGCAGTCCGACAGTATATGACCCGACCCAAGACAGCTTCAGATTTTATTGGTAAGGAAATGAAATGAGGTTTAATGTTATGCCCCGACTGGGCTAATGAAAACACGATGTGTTATGAGGGAAATTTTCCCGGACAGCGGCGCTATGGTCTACTCTTGTATTGAATTCCAAATGTCAGAGGATCTTTTACTTGCACGCCAGTGTGTACACGGGACCTCGATTTTTTGTGCCATCCGAACGACCATACGTTGTCCCTTGCCAGACCCGCTGTCCTGCACCACTGATGAACTTTCTCGGCCAACACCGGGATCGAACACGGGACCCTCAGGCTAGTGAACCAACTTCTTACTCACTGAACCATCATGGCTCCTATTGGTCGTCTCTTATATCTAAACGTTTACACTAAAATCTGGACACAAATTCAAATTATATGCTTATCTGGGGTTCGAGCATAACGCATTCCTGACACTTGGCAGTGTTGATTACATTTTAAATGAAAAAAAAATCTGAATTTAAAAATAGAGAAAGTAAAAAAGACAAAAAAACAGACGTTATGTAATTTGAGAATCCAAGCTCAGTTAAAGTTAAATGTGTATTGCAAGAAAGTAATGTGATGTGCACGAAGTCTATAAAAGTCAGTCTGTGATTTACTGAAATCTAAATAAATTCATCAGATATTTTGACAAGGAGTTCACCTTGTATGTAATGCTATAAATAAGGGATTAATAGTGTGTGACATTTTACCCAGTGTTCAGAATTTGAGTATGAACTGAATTCTGGATGACAATAGCCCAGCTGTTAATATTCGCCGGTTTTGACACGAAAATATTAAATGGCGTGCACGTAATAGAATCCCCAAAAGATGTGCCGAAAAACGTTAGTCCGGATACACCCCCCCCCACCCTACCCTCAGGCAAACATATAATTTAAAGTTGGCATATGTTCGTCTGAAAGTAACCCAAGTATTATGTTAAACCCAAATCCATTCGTCACAGTTCAACGTCTGATATTCATACTAAAATGTGCTGAGCTTATTTATAGACAAAATCTCAACCCGGTCGATTATTCTCAGATTGCTGCTTAATATTAATTGATAAATTCAACATAAAACTCATTCTTTCACTGTTAGTGATCTCTATACATTGCCCATTAGTGCTCATGTTCCTGAAGAAACGACTGTGAGTTTTACAACAACTAGCCGTTGCTAGATTAGTCTGAAATTCCCAAAAATTTAAGCTACGTTACCTGTCTTTACCACAGACATGTGATACAAACACATAACGGTATAGATTCGTTTACAGCCGTTAAAAGCGTTTCTTTAGTTGAAAAACTCAAGGAAAACCAAAGAAAATCTGGAAGAACAGAAAAGTAAATTAGAAAAATTTGCAAGCAACTTTGACATTAAACGAACTCGGAACTTTTCAACTCGATTATCACTGCTAGATATTTCAGTTGGAAAGCACGAGACTTGGTATTCGCGATGATATTTTCTATCGAGTTATCTAGGAGTTCTTGAAATTAGTGACGAAAAATGTAGAGTATTACGTAAAGGCATTGATAAAATGTGTGGAGTTAAAGCGAGATCAAACCTTCTCTTGAGGAAGGTATACATTGCCGATTGGTGTTATGTATGCTTCTTGGAGCTATGAATTGTCCATATGTGGCACTATGCATTGTCCACCAGTGCCACGTGTTGCAAATATAATGCCATATACTGTAGTTCCAATTGATCACATCCAGATTGATCAGTTAACGTTACAGATCCGATTGGCTTCGAAAGTCCAAATTTAATTGATATTGGCCCACAAATGTGTTGATGATACAGGGTTGTGCAAACATTATATATCTCTGAAATAAACTAATTGCTGAATACTTACATCATCAAATATTAAAATAGATGTAAATAAGCCTGAAAGCCTATACGGCTGCTCTGGGCTGAAATATTTCAACAAAATTGTATAGCAGTATGTTTATTCTCAAATCTCACCTTTGCCAAATGTGACTATAAGTGCCAAAATTTAATATAAATGTTTTTTCTCAAGTTCTATTCTATATTTATGGCGTTATATAACCTATACTGCTTATGTCTTCGCAGCTTTAATAGAAAAAGAAAGAAAAAAGAAAGCAGAAGCGGCGGCCAAGACCTCAACGACGTCACAGGGCTTTAATTCAAGTGTTGGTAACCGAAAATCATTACCTAATAGTCGTATGTCGTCATCTAAAGCATTTTATATGGAACCACAGGGCAATTATACAATGCCAGTAAGTTATGTGTATACTATTTAAAACCACTATATTCGGTTCTCTTTGTACAAAATGTCACAATTTGACATAGTTTTGACATGAGGCTTCAAACTTAGGGTCTAAAGGTGTTATCAACAAACAACCAAATGCTTTTGAATAGGACAATTTTGTAAAAACAATTGAAAGCTTAATGTTGATTTTTCAATTCATATGTTCCTGTTAAATTATTTTCCCAATATACCAAATCTGTTTTTTTTCTACAGAAATGCTTTTACTGTGTTACTACAAAACGTGTGTATGATGCTTTTAAAATGAATTTATGATAATTGATGATTTTTACAGGTATTTCGACCGATAGATTTAAAAAATTCTTCTAGAATGTACTATAAGTAAGTAATAGGATTTTTTAAAATTAGGAATATACTCACAAACATAATTTTATCGACAATGTTAATCACCGAGAGATCAAAACACCAATTTAGAATTTACAATTGGCTACATTTTGATTGTTTAGTGCTACTGGTTCTGAACACAGATATTCACCAACTTCATACTTCGAGAATAGATCTCTGCTCTAAATGGCCGCCATATATGTTTTATTAAATGGAAGCAGAATAAATACGTAACACAATTCTGGAAGTATACTTGTTGTTTTCGACTAAAATCGTCGATTTAGGGCTTAAAATGTCGATCAACTAGCTTAGTGTTTGTTCTCAAGTGGAGCTTACTGTAGACAGACAGCCTATAAGTTTAGTATGGTGGCTACTTTGTCGATCATCTTGAATTTCTAATAATCCCAAGGATGTAAAGATAATAACAGGCTCTGTATATGACGCGTTTGGCCAATGAGCGGTATCTCTATTATGGGTATGTATAACACAGAGTCCAATAAAAGAAGACCCCCCCCCCCCATTTTACTACTTTTCCGTTATCAATCTGATCCGATATGTTCACTTTACTTGAGAATAGACCTCTTCCCTGAACGGCCACAATTAGTGTACTATTTTGTAACGTAATTCTAATCAGCTTTACATCTGTCTTACACACATAGAAGAAATACACAGAATAACCATTTCTCACAATTATCGAACTAAAACGGCCAATTTAGAAATTAAAATATCTGGTCTCAAGAGGAGCCAATAGAATTGTAGACAGATAACTCTCGTATGTAAATCTAATTGAGTTTATTTAACAGTAATATCGATGCTACTGAAATATATCAATACTTATCCTTTTTCGTCCCACCTGAAAAAAACAGAACAAAACATTTCATCAGTCACAGTTCACTTGGTATAATCAATAATATTAATATTCTGTTTTTACTTACAGGCCATGGAATGGTGATAAATTGCCGGTAGCTGATATACGAAGACTTCAACCCTCTCCAGCATTTTATTAGATAATTTTGTAAATATCATTGTACACACCAGAATACATATAAATAAAATATAAAAAAAAACACAAGCTATTTACAACATAGATTATTGGTTGCACATGATAGAACCCTTGACATTTGGAAAGCAAGAAAAGGTATATGGAAATGCCTGTTGTATATTACTTCTGAATTTTACTTATTTCTGTTATTTGGTCGGGAGGTTTGTTTTAATTGAGACTGCCAAAAAACCATTTCGATTATATTTGTGGATATAAGATAAAATGACGGTCGAACTGAATACTTTATCTCCATGAAATTTTAGTATTTAGAATGCTGTTGTTGTGTTGAACTCTATTTCCCGTTTTGATTAAATATGTTAAAATATACCACATGACACCTATTTTATGTGTATCAACGTCACGCTCTGTCAAAGAAATCGATTTTTTCTTTTACCTTTTTTTTTCGAGACACCTGTGTATAATTGCCAATGTATATAACACTAGAGTTATTTCTAAACTTCACCATGCACGGAACACTGTTATTACCACTGTAAACAGATCTGGATTAGAGAACAATAAAGGAAACCCGCATTTAGTTCCTATTATTTATATCCCTTATATATTTTGCGGACCGGAATATATTTTCTGCTAGTGATTCGATTGGTGAATATTTATGCCTTTAAGATGTGAAAATAACAGATTTAAAATGAATTATGGGGTTTGACGCCCTACTATTCTGAACCGAAACGGTTAATGAAGACGGGCATATGTCATACAGTATGCTATGAGGTAAATTGTGCCCTCACACTGTACTACGGTCTGCTCTTATTTTGAATTCCAACTGCCAAGGGTTCCTTTACACCAACTTCAGGCCATCCGAACGACTAGACACTGTTCCTTGTCAGACCCACCGTCCTGCATTACTGACTGGAGAAACTACGCCGGAAAATATCGAGAGGCGTTCCCGGCCAACACAGGGAGCGAACTCAAGACCTCTAGGTTAGTGAGCCGCGTCTGACTCATTGAGCTACGGCGGTTTTTTTTACATTGAAATGTATGGCAGATAGGTCCTAGTTTATAAGATTGCGTTTCTAGCTAAAGGGCAGTTTGAGAAATAGTTCAGAGCAGGACAAAAAGACATTCATCATTTAATAAATGATTCAGCACAAGATTAATTCACTACTACTTAGATTTCATCATCTAACAATCCAATCTCACAATAGATACATATATTGGTAATTTCTCATCATGTAACTCGATCATCTAGTAGTAACTTTTCATTTAACTCTAGCAGTAAAGTCTCAACATTTAACTATCATGAGTAGTAGTAAAGTTTCACTAACTACTACACCAAGTAATAAATTCTTATCATTAAACCAGAGCATCTAGCAGTAGTAATTCTCACTATTTAACTATCAAATCTACTAGTAAAGTCTCATATCAAACCAATCTAGGAGTTAAGTCTCTTAACAATCGCATCTAACAGTAAAGTCTCATTATTTAACTGTCGCATCTAGCAGTAAAATGTCATTATTTAACTGTCGCGTTACTAGTATATAGCATAGTCTCATTACTTCACTATCGCATCTGGGGGTAAAGTCTCATATTAAACTATTACACCTAGGAGTAAAGTCTCATATTAAACTATCACATCTAGCAGTAAAGTCTCATATTAAACAAGTCCAAAAGTGAGGCTGATGTGCCCCGCCGATATCCCCAATTAAATAGATGGCACATACTAATCAATTGCACATTTATCTTTTTGAAAAATATTGAGCAATCAAACTGATTATCTAATCTTAGTCTTAACAGAAAATGTTCACGATCGAACTCAGTCGAGGTTTTGAAATAGCTTGTAGTGAAACTATACACTAAGTTTTATCAACATCAGCACCAAGTTTAAACATTCTACCGCAATTAAAAGCAGAGTTCGTAAGGCAGGGGACAACTAAGTAATGAGTAAAGTCTCATTACTTAACTATTGCATCTAGTAACAGTAAAGTCTCCCCATTAAATGGTATCATTTAACAGTGAAGTCTCCTCATTAAATCTTATCATCTAACAGTAAAATCCCCCCATTAAATCCTATCATCTGATAGTAATGCCCCCCGCCCACACCCACATCGTTAAATCTTATCATCTAACAGTAATGTCTTATTACTTAACTATACCCATTACATCTAGCAGTAAAGTCTCAGTACTTAACTATCACATCTAGTACTTTATCTAACAGTAAGTCTCACTATTAAATCTTATCATAAAGCAGTATTTAACACATCACCTAACAGTAAAGTCTCACGATTAAATCTTATCATCTAACAGTAAAGTCTCACCATTAAATCTTATCGTCTAACAGTGCAGTCTCACTATTTTAACCATCGCATCTAGCATTCGTGGGATTTTCTGTATCAATCGTTTTCATTGATCTGCGCGTTATACTGAAATAAAAGGGAAAGAAATTTTGGTATTATTTTAATTAGGCTACAAAATTTCCTCGTCCAATTCATTTTACAGTAATATTTCGTCTTATGACGGCAGAAAGTAAGGAAAAGATAAATATTCACAACACTGGTTAGCATTACATTGTCACGAAACCAATTAACACATCTGATTAACTGTTCAGGTTGATGTCCTTACCTGTTGTTTCACATAAACTGACATTTCATCCCAAATATTCATAGTTTATAATTGGTCTCAATTCCTCGTCCAATTCCTTTTACAATAATTATTATTTTCTCTTACAATGACGACAGAAAGTAAGGAAAAGATAAATGTTCACAACACTGGATAGCCTTGCCTTGTCACGAAACCCATTAAAACTTCTGATTAACTGTTCAAGGTAATGTCCTTATGTGTGGGTTCACCAAATTACTATACATTGACATTTTGTGCCAAATATTCATACTTTATAATTGATCCTTTTAATATTTATGAATTACATATTTTCATATTGACAAATTACTAAGAGGATACGGTGTTAATAACATAATTAAAGTTGACAAGTATAATTTATTGAAACAAATTACTTGATATTTTTTTTCTAAATTTTCAGGACATTACAAACATGATAAACGATAAAATTCATTGCATGCGAAGGAATATAATGTATGCGTGTAATTACATTGTTATCATATATCCGTATATAATAATATGATTAACGCCAATAAGGATTGCTCGAACAATTAGTAATCTATTGGCTTCCGTAATAAATAATAATAAAACTACTAAATCTTTGAACCCCATTTTTGAAATACATTTCTTTTTTCAAAACAAACGAAAAATTGTAATATCGTAACACGCATATTAAAGAGTCGCACCAGACATCAGAGTGGATCGGATGGGTTAAATTTTGTGAGGAAGAAAACTTTATCTTAGCAATTATATATAGCTATTTGAGAATCTATGGTGCTTTTGCACAGAAATACAAGCTTTCAGTTTCCTTGTAAGCCATTCTCATTTACATGAATAGTCATGTCTACTTAATGTTCAATACTCATATGAATATCAGTTTAAACAAAATACCATATGACCGTTATGGATTTTCCAAGTCAGACACAGTATAATTACTGATTCCGGGATGCTGCTTGGTGAAATTGTCTCATTAAAAAAGAATAAGTATAATAAAGTACAATAGCTACGGAAATAGGGTGATTAGGCAATAAAAGTCATAGATGGGTGTCACGAGACTGTGTCATATATCAGTTCATTCATAAATAACTACGGTGCAGAAATAGAACCCTATGGCGCACCTTCATGAGCCAGAATATGGTCGTGTTCCGGGAGTCAACATAGTTATTCCAGAAACCGTTAAATGAAAATTATTGCGGTGATTAAAAATTCCGTACAAGTTAAATAAAAATTAAAAAAAATCATCAATCAACTAAAACAACAAAACATTAACCGAAACATGCAAAATAGGCACGAAAAACGACAACCGCTATATCTAACAAACTATGTATCACAATGTGATGAAATTGTTTTCTTTTGATAAGCTATATATCTAGAACAGATATCATAATCTTTGCATAAAAAGGGGGTAATACACCAAAGCACAAAATTATTAAAATTCCTAATTCTATCTACAGGGAATTTGTCCCAATTCCGCAATGTTAACTTTTTGAAATGATCGTAAATGACCTTTAAGTTTTCAAAAATAATATGTATTTCTAATTTTTAAAATAAATATCCCCTAAACAATTCAATCGCCATGTTTAAATTATAAAAAAATATATGAAAATAATTACATTATGACCTAAATTTATGGGTATATGGAGAGAGTCTTTTCACGTATTGGGTCTACAATTCATTTGAAAATAAAAGAAAAGCTATCAAGAAACTCCCTTAAACCGAAGCCTTTCCAAGGCCTATAATTACTATTCTGATCGCACAAAAGTAAATTTTTTGCTATTTCTCCTTGCTTTGGGTTTTCACATTATTGTCAATTTGGCTTTCAGGGGATATAGCGGTGATTGGGTAAGTTTTATTCTTCTCGTGGCCACTTTAGTCCGTTTCGTTAGTAGTTTCTGGTTAATCTCTGCTTTGGGTTCATCCAATAGGCAAGACTTCGACTGAGCAGTTGGTAAGTCAGGTATGGACGCGGAAGGATCCTATGAGTGTGGTGGGCTTGGGTGTCCCTAAAGAAGTTATGTTCTCACGTAGCTTTGGAACCCTTTTTAATTAGAAGTACACGCTAAACATGTGCATAGAACATCAGTATGTACTCTAGAAAGTCCATTTACAGTGATTTGTTCAAATAAAAATTCTCGCGTCAGGATACACAACCCTTTTGACCTCCAATCCGTCCCTGTGTCAAGTGGTTATCTTAGACCACCGTCAAACATATTATTTTAATTGCAAACTGCGCTAAACTCATTTAGGTATTAAATTGGTTTGCTCTGACGTATTATCTAGATTAGTGGTGGGGCACTACACTTTTGGCAGATTAAGAACGCGTCCATGAGAGGACCATACAACGTTTAACAAAATCAAACAAAAAAAACCCCGATAACCCTTAGGGTCAGCAATTTTCAAACATACTTGGTGTGTGGGGCCTAATAGGCAACAGAAATCACGCGATATAGTGAAAAAAAACTGGAAATTGCTGTTTTGGGTCAAATTTGCGATATTTCGACCAATTTTTTACCAAAATTTCAAAACGCTCCTAATCGAAATGTTGTGACTCTAAAATTTTGATATTGGTCAGGTATGTTAGGCCAAGCAGTCGTTTGGAAATGAATGGATCGTGTGGAATTTTCTGTGAGTTATCTTAAAGTGACCATTTTACATTATGTTGAAAACTATGTCATCCTAAACCGTATGTAGCTGCTTCTTGGCGGATCTGAAGTAGAATTGCTTGGTGTGGTTATGAAGGGCATTCGTCCAAGTATATGCAAGAAGAAAAAAACTGTCCGGCACTAAACCCACTAGTGTGCCACAATATTCTGAAAATGTGTAAAAATCAGTATTTTCCATACGATTATTCTTTTACTGATAACCGGCGACTATCTTCAAGAGTTCAAATGACTATCGATTATCAACATTAGTACTATATTTTGTTATTTGAGCGTTTCTTGTGCCAAATATGTTATTTTGGTTAAAAATCATAAAGTTTTTCTGACAAAATCAGACGCTCACGATCATCGTAGGGAAGGGGTGTAACTGGTTGTATAATTTTGCAGAATCAGACAACGATTATTCTCATTAATTTTGTATTCTGTAGTTAATAGCAGGGAAGTGTATAAAAGTATGGGATGGTATGGCAAGTTTTGATATCGGCACAATCTAACCAAAGCAGCGCCTTTTCACCAATGGCCAACGATTATTTTCAAATGACCAGAGATCATCACCATTACTATAATTATATGTTTCATTATTCTAACATGCCTATCAAATAGAGTATTTTGGTCAAAAACATAACGTTTTCGTGACAAAATCGAACTTTCACGCTCGCTGGATAGCCGAAGGGAAGGTAATAAGTCGTGCATAATTTTGCACAGTGGTGAGACCGCGGTTGTTAAGACCTGTATTTAGGAGCAGATCATCGTATAGATTTATGGGCTGCCATGACTATCATAAACTTGATATATCTATTATCTACATTCTCGTGTGAGAAGAACCACAAGAAAAAAAATATTTATAAGTGTTCATGGAGAGGCATTTTATATCTGGCGGTGTCCTTGTTTAGCAGACCGTCGTGCTTTTCATATTAAAATCCAGGATGTATGGCACTCTAGACAATCCAGGATAAATTCTGACTGCACATGCCAACCTCCGGCATATAGCTACGTTCGAGCAGAAGTGTTCACTTACTTAGATTCTGACCTGCCTTCCTTAGTTTTGGGCCTATATATGTCACCTTCTCTTTCAGGAGATTTCAATATGTTCTTAGTTTTGGGTCTATATATGTCACCTTCTCCTTCAGGAGATTTCAATATGGAATGTATATTGTCTCCTGAGTTTCAATAACTCTCCATTAAAACTTCCAAATGTTTTTATACACTGAGTGACTGACCGGCTTCTAAATACAGAAGTAACCAACCATGGAAGAAAATCTGAAATCAGCGGTCATTTAAAGATAGTCGACAGTGAAGAGATGCATCCGTCTAATAATGACATACTTAACATCTTTATATATATATGTGTACATATATATTCTAACATTCCAACCAATGTTAATTTGAAAGATATAATGGTAATCAGTTTTGGCATGTGTAGTCATGCTGATCATGTGATTGTGGCTCAGTGCCACTGTATCATCTACAATCCTCCCGTCCTTATAACCCGTTACACGAGCGAGCATATACATCCCTCAGAAATACTTCAATTTCTGCAGACCACGAGCGACGTAACAGTTTGTGATCGTAGAATTAGCTGATAATGCTTCTCTCGCGGATCGGTTGTTCAGTTCTCCACAGAACATTTCCAGCTTCGAGAAAGTACTGGAGATGCTGCTGTGAACCTCCCGCAGCTATAGACAACAGTAGTGATCTTTTGCCCGAGAGCTGAAATATGTTTCATGCTATATATAGCCTGGAGGTCGGGTGTTCGATCCATGCATTGGCCGAGAAAGTTCATTCAGATTTTTCGGCGTGGTTTCCCCCTTGTCAGTGATGCAGGATGGAGGACCTGACAAGGACAGCTGTCTAGTCGTTCGGGTGGGACGAAATACAGAGGTCCTGTGTACACTTTGGCGTGCACGTAAAAGATCCCTTGGCAGTTGGAATTCGATATAAGAGTAGGCCGTAGTGCCGCTGCCCGGGCAAAAATTCCCTCACAGCACACTGTATGGCGTATGCCCGTCTTCATATCATATTCATGTAATTCATATAAGATGGACATTCGTAAAACTTGGTTAAGTCAAAGGTGATCTAACAAAAGCGCTTTAGATCATAAGGCATGTCATAGAGTTAAGTGGCGAGGTTTCCATTACAAGCTTGTAGGTAACATGGTTTAGTGTTGTCTGCCCAACCTCACAGATTCCCTCCTTTCGCGCAAGCGCATTATTGAAATAAAACTGTATCATATGTTAGTCCCCAAATTACCCAGTTTGTGTTCGATTGGACATTAAACCTTATCTCTCTCTCTCTCTCTCTCTCTCTCTCTCTCTCTCTCTCTCTCTCTATCATGTCAAAATCATCCTTGGTTGACGACTGAATGGAATATATGAACTTTGTAAAAATGTCCAAACATATGCATCACCATAATATGTTCGTCTCATCCCAAAATGACCTAGTTTGTGTCCGGTGAACGTTAAACCCAATTTTTATCTCCCTCTCATGTCTAAATCATCCTAATGATTAAACAGAATATGTTAAATTTGTAAAGATGTCAAGACATATTTTTCATCTGGGTTATTGATAAACGAAACATTTTATCCAAATTTTTGGGTTTTTAAATTTATTTCTTCTTTTTTATTATGCCTGTGCCGATCCTTTTAATTTTTTCCACTTATTTTAATAGGAATGTTTTCATTAAATTCAATTTTTAGAGAGAATTTGGTATCTGGCCAGTACCAAGATACCATTGGCAGTAGAAACTTAAATCTTTGTGTGTAGGAGGAGCCAAAATTTCATCTGTCTAAATCAATTATTGTCCGAATAACATTTTATCTAAATTTAGTGCCCAAAATAGTCCATTTTTGAGTAGTTTTCTATTAAAAAGTTAGTTTTTCATTTTGCCAGGTTGGTATCAACTGAATCAACCTTATATTTTGTGGGGATGTATCTGGGTACTAACCGTTGTCGCAGAAAACATTTACTCTAAATTCCCAACCCAAGGCTTATCACCCTCCGCTCGTTTACTAATTCTAACCCGGCATAGATTATATCTCAACATTAATTTTAACTGTAGGCGTAGATTTTCAAGCAAAACAAAGTGTTAAACCTCAATATATAATACAATGAAATCAGAAATTGTATTTCTGTCACAATTGGGTGTTGTAATTTTACAAGGTTTTAATGTGAAATAATACTTAAAATTCTCCCTTCTGATCAGTATTATATATATTCCTGCAGTATATATATATATATATATATATATATAAAAACACACACACTTTATTCACGATTGTGTCAGTAAAGTGGGGGTTTAATTTATTCCATAGCCGTTGTTAATTTAATGTTTTTTTGCTTGATGATGGATGAGGTAACAGCGTATAAAGGGTTGGAGGTTTATTGTACTCCTGTAAATTTATCATGGCAGTTACCTGTCTCTTTAAATATACGCCATCGCCTCGAGACAATAATGAATTCGTCCCGAATTGCTAGTAACTATCGGAGAATGAATACAGGGTCTGAGAAGCCTCTGAACTCGAAAGGGATAGCAACACCTGTTAGAAACAAGATCCCAAGCTGAGATTAATGCGACCCTAGTCCAACGAAGCTGCTTCTAACCTGGTCATTATGTTTCAACGTTGCTCCAGCTGTTCCAAATTTAGAAACTTGAAATTATAAATGGAGATATTTTGACGACTTGTGCTTTTTTTTCGTGTTTTAGTTTTGACACGAAATTGGTGTTAATAATAGATTTCTCTGAGGATAATATCTGTCTCATTTTAATATATTCTCTTTCGTTATGACAATCCAAACACCTGATGTATAAGATCGGGAAATCATTGGAAAAAATTGATTTTTTTAAAGCAAACATAGTTGTTTATAGGATTTATACCTCAGCAAATTCAAAAAAGGAAATACTTTAAGTGTTAGTTCAAAAAGCCAACCTGTGAAATGCTATGAAATTACAGGAAGTTTCTAAACGGCGGATGCTTTTTCAACTTATAATAAATAATATGATCTAAAGGATTTTAGAGGTGTATAATTTAGAAACATTAACACATTCTTTACAGTCTGGAATAGATTTTAAAAATGCTGTGTAAGAAATGCATATTCGTTGCGATGTGTTGCTTAATTGGACAGTCCACATTAGCTATAAGACTAGTCAACAATGGCTATGAAAACGTAGTTATTAGTATTGGTAAAGATGTTAAAGAAGATTCTTCAATTCTGCAACGCATCGAGGTAATACTTTTTTTCTTGATGCTTTTGAGATCATCTAGCGATTACAATATTATCAGCATTCACAATAATATCCACGTAGACCTAGTTTTCATCATCATCATCATCATCATCATCATCACTACCATTGGCATAACCATACGCATCCTCATTATTAATAGACAGAAGCATCAGCAAAATCAGCACCAGCAGAAGCAGCAGTGTTGTCCCAGCTAAGGTTGAAAGTGTTTATGTGTAGCAAAGTTCTTAATCTGCGAAAATGTATTTTTTAATTGATTGGATGCAACTTCCAAATGTGTCAGCAGAACAATATTAGTATAGATTTCAGTGTTCTTCAAAATATAGTTTCAAAACCACAACACGTCAAATAACAAAAACTGACACCTGAACAATTGTGTCAAAAATAAAATTCTCGATTGGTTTTATGGGATGACAATATGTCCTCATTACGCCCATAGATAATACTGGTGTTTAGATTATACCAGTAAACCAAAATATAATGCAAAAATTGTAAATAAGCCAAATCCCACTTACGCTTTTGAGCTTGTCCATTAAATAACCCATTTAACATTTTAGGTCAGCCCGCTTGAATTAATTACCCTCTTTCAGAAAACATATTTTTGTACAATAGCTTTAGTGATAGTAGTTTCACTTTGGGTATTGTGGTTAAAACCAACTACAGAATTTTCAATTATAATATGTGGTATATTTTTGTCTTTATATTACTAAAACAGTACTCTCATTTCATCATATTAAGTCATTACTAACTCTTCCACCTGTTGACTCATCGCTGATACATATATTTTTAATAAAACTCAAGACATAATATGATATGCAATAGGGTTTTACGTCCTACTTGTCTGCCCTGACTTAGATAATGAAGACAGGCTTACGCCATATAGTGTCCTATTGCCCGGACTGCAACTGAATTCCAAATGTCGTCACGGGTACTCTTACGTACTACCCAAACGACTAGACGCTGACTAGGGAACTTTCTCGGCCAAAACCTGGAGAGAACCGGTTAGCGAGCCAGTGTCTTATTCACTGAACCACCGCAGCTCCCAAGTTGAAAGACAAGCTAAAGCGCCAGGAAATTGGAATCAGATTTATTCTGTATGGAGTGTTCAAACATTAAACATTAACAAAGCAATTCTCAAAGTCTTTGAAGGGGAAAAGTGGTGAGATCAACTGGTTACGGCGATCAAAATAATTAAGCTAAAAAGACAGCCGGTTTTTTTAAACCTATACTGGGACCAGTTGGTTAAGAATATAAATATGACACTGGTTAACCTTTGTCAGTGATAGATTGATGACCTGCCAAGAGGAATACATTAATATTAGATCACAGTAAGGAAAACAAACGAGAGATGGTCTATTACCTGTAATGAGACCAGTAGGTTAGGAATACAAACTTAAAACTGGTTAAACCTTGCCATTGATTGAATACATGAATATTTGATGTTGAATGAGATGTCTTTTTGTGGGACAAAGCGTCTTTCATCAAATCAAAAATATACATAGAGTTCTTATATTCTCATTTATTTGAAAAGTTCATATAGATACTGGACACTGGGGAGATGGGGTCGTCCATTCAATACGAACTAGATCATTTGGGGATTAAGATGTCGTAAATCTTTATTTAATAAAACAAGAGAGCCAGGAGAAAACCCCACGAACTGAATTCCAATAGAGGATGCAGCCTAACAACCTTAACAAAGCTTGGCGTGAAGAAGAGCAGTCTTCTCGAATTGCGACTTCATATTGTGATTAATTGTGAAGATGATGAATTAAATGTAAGCTACGTGTATGTGGTAGATAAATTATAATAAACGTGGCAGAAGAATCAAAGAAAACACATCGACTTGACCTAAATAAACACGATACAACCAGTTAAAGATACCTTAGTTAAGATTTTAATGAGTTGGTCATTTTGGATATAACAGTTTAAAAATAGATGATAAAAAATATAATATTGAAAATTTCAGTCAAATTACTTTATTTTGAACGAAATTATCACTGCTGGAAGTTTGGACTAGAAATAGACATCAACTGTTCCCGCACCGTCTCCGAGAATTGCCGATCGTTAGATTGACAGACGATAACTTCGCCCGTATATTCTCGATTATCAAGTAACATTGTCAAAGCCAACGGTAGCTTCGATTGTCAACCCTTTCATCGACAGTCTCCAATAGTGCCGTCAGTGAATAACGATAATTGTTAGCGTGGTCAACCATTTAAGGATTTAATTATTAAATGGGGACTGTTTAAATCCGGGCTGTATCCAAGTCATCCGAGTATCTACAGAGTTGATTTTGGGCTTTAATAATCCAAAGAGACATTTCGTTAACTATTTAGTCAATACTTTGTTATTATAACTGAATCCGAATTCAAACCTTTCATTTTCTACAAAAATCAGTAATGTGTCCCTTTACAGTGAGGAATGGTCTTCTTTTTTTTTTATTGAGATTCGCTTTTTTTCTAGAAAAGTAAACCAAAGACAATAATTAAGATTTGGGATAAAATGTTAAACAGTTAATTGTGCTGATGTATATAAATATTCATAATTTTGTATATGATTATTTTGCTCAGAATTTTGTTGAAGGGGAATATTGACAATAGAAGTTCAATCGTGGTCCATGTAACGCAATTTCTTCTTAAACAAGAATTCCAACCCATATATAACACCCATAATTCTTCGGGTACTGGGACTAACTTTTAATTTTAGACTTTACTATTGTAAAATTTCAAATCACGTTAATTATATGAACAGAAATTTTGTCTGCTTTACAGTTAAAAAGTAAGTTTAAGGCGTTCTTGTGTTTCATTTCGTCTTAATTGTCATATTTTATGCAATCTGATCAAAATACAGATCTATATTTCGTTTCGTTTTTTTTATACTTTCTATGGACTACACTACATGAAGATCTGATAAGTTGTACTGTGAGGTCGTGTCAGGGGTCATACGAGCGGCTTTTAACCCTATGACATCAGCCATTTGATTAACCAAACAGCGTTGACGTATCTAGGGGTTTACCCACAGTTCCGTGCACCGCACGCCTGACACTCGCCGTAACAGACCGTTTCATTGGCTAATCCCTCACATCACACAGAACGCGTGTTATATAAGAACTCTTCTAGATTCTCGTGTTGTGAAGACAAGTAAAACGAAATTTTGAACTATAAAAAACGAAACGAAATAGGATATGTGTTTTAATCAGATTGTATTTTATTAATTTACAAAAAAAAAAGATATATAGCGAACTAGAATCAAACCTGTGGCACAGATCTTATATAAAGAGTTAGTTAACAAGCACAGGTTTAACATCTGGATATTAGGTCACACAATACTGACTTGCGCGGATGACGTGTGTCATTTGATGCGGATAGACTGAAACTCTATGGTTTACGTCCCGGGTGAACGCTGTGTAGACTAACCATAAACCCCATCGGTCACAGAACGGTATCTGGTGTTGATGCTGGACGCGAAGACATTTATATTTTCAGAACTAACACTTATCCAATACTACTGTAGTACGCGCAGCAAACAAAGTTCAGCCATACATGCTGGGGAAAAATCATGATCAGATTTAATAATCGCACTGCTCTTTTAATTATACAACCTTTAGAAATAATTTGTTTGTAATTGCCATTTTTATAATCGATACTGATGAGATTCAATTTCTCCAATTTGTCACATGATTAAAATCACCACTTGGTTTTATCACAGCTGATAATAATTATGTAATGAAATGCCGCAAACAGAAAGTTTGATGAAATCACCCAGTTAATATCACCAACTGATCACAATAAGGTGAATAATAACATCACCTGATCTTAACGACTATATTACCATCTGAAGTTCTCATAAGCCATCCTGTTAATATCATAAGTCATGATATTATAAAGACAATATCGGTGTCAGTCATAATTACATTGATAGAACTGGTTAAATACATTCCAAATATAATTTTAACACAGAGATCATTGCTACGGGAGATGTGTAACAAGCACGTGAAGAAACGGGAAGTGACGCCAAACATGACAAACACGAGTTATCCTTCTATGTATCTGACTGATGTAACGAGCGATAACAGACAAACGATCGAATTTCATTTCACTGATAATTCCGTTGAAGTTGAAAAGTTATTATATGGGACAGTAAGAGGGAAAAAGAAAAATAGAAAAATCCCGTGTATTCCCCCGTTTTTATTCATTCTGTTCTTAATAAAAACATGGTAATGCACGGACTTTTTTTAAATTTGTTTCTTATCTTTTATCTAATGACAGCCAATTATTTTTTTGAATTGTCAGATATCCTCTTACCATCTCATATAATAGCTTTTCATCTTCAACTGAATTATCAGTGAAATGAAATTCGATAGCGTGTCTGTTATCGCTCGTTGCTTCAATCAGTTACATTATAGTAGGATAACTCGTGTTTGTCATGTTTGTCGTCACTTCCCGTTTCTTCACGTGCTTGTTACACATCTTCTGTAGCAATGATCTCTGTGTTAAAGTTATATTTGGGATGTATTTAACCAGTTCTATCACATATTTTATAATGACTGACACCAATATTGTCCTTTAATATCACCATCTGATCTTATCAGAAATGATCATAACAATTATGTGGTAGAATGTAACCATCTGACCTTATCACAAGTCATGAGAATAATATCACCATCTGATCTTATTGGGGGCGGGGGGGGGGGGTGTAGATGGCCGAATGGTTAGCATGTGCGTGCTGTATCATGAGACCAGTCATTGAGGTAACTGGCGTGGTTTCGAATCCCCGTTTGTACGTGACAAGGAGTAGGGTTGCCTGTCCACCCTCGTGGGTTTTCTCCGGGTCCTCTGGTTTCCTCCCACTGCTAAAGACCCCTATGTGCAGGCGAATTATTGAAATAAAATTTAAACCATATGTTAGTCCCGAAATGACCTAGTCTGTGTCGAGTGGACGTTAAACTCACTCTCTCTCGCTCTCGCTCTCTCTCTCTCTCTCTCTGATCTTATTGTATAAAATCGTGGTGAAAATATTATAATTTTATTAGTTTGTACTTTCAGGATTACCTTACCGTAACATCAGCAGCTCTATTCACAGCCACCAAACATAGAATTTATTTTCGAGAAATTACAATAGTTATTCCTCAGACCTGGACACATAACCCCAGTTATTCTAATGCCAAAGATTCTGAGACGGAGCACTCCCAGATTTTGATTGACGTGGAGAACCCCGCCTATGGTCACGCCCCTTATGTAAAACAGTACGCAGAATGTGGTCAGCCGGGGTTGTATATTCACCTTACACCTGAGTATTTAATAAAAGATGAAATAACATTTCGATGGGGGTTGCCAGGTAGATGGTCTTATTTATTTCATTTATATACTACGTCCTATAGTGAACACCTTCTGGGTCATTTCGAGCAATATATTATCTTTTAAGAAAAGACATGTTTCCTCGAGCCTAAATGGGTCTAAACTTGTTATTATCTTAAAAAATGGCATCTGTGATCACTAGAAAAAGTCAGAATCGATTCTGCTTGATGTTTAGATCAGGAACTGGTCCATAAACGCTACTCATCTTGCGCTTGTTGGTCTTGGGGTGGTGCTCTTCGAAAAAAGCCCAAGGAGCCGCCAATTCACGTACGAGCGACACAAAACTTGGCATACCGGTTGCTTGGACAATTTCGCAATGATTATTGATATGACGTTACAATTCCATGGTATCTGTGATGATAGCATGCTCGGTTCCTGGTCCACAGTACTCTAGCACCTGTTATTATAGATTCTGCCTGACGAATAAGCCCACCATGAATGAAATACGTAAGTTTAATCAGTATGCTGTCAAAATATTTTCCCTGAATATAATGGTTTTGGTTACAATTATATTTTTCTTAGCGTAGTTTCCAATCGGCGTTCACGCAAATATGTATTCTCGCTGTCCGGTATCTTATTTTAATCCTGTATGTGCCAGTAAGATCGCTTGCAATGTTCTTGCTTTATGTTTTGAAATATCTACCCAATATATATTATTTGTAGACTAATTTATAACATTGTGGTCAAAACTATCGAATTTCAAAATTGAAGTGTATCTTTAGAATAGTTTGCTGGTTTGTCCGCGTTATGGGCCCAAATATTGGTACTGCCAGTGCTGCATTTATAAACGTTTATAACTTTCGAATACGCCTCACTACTGTTATGAGCTTTAATTTGATCGTTGACTTGATGTTACTCTTGAAGATCGACAAAATTTCGTTTATCTTTATTACTGCAATACCTGACAAAATATGTCACCCACCCTCTCCCCTCACATTATCTAACATTGGTTTCGTTCATCGTGTGACATATGCCATGTTGTGATGAACTCTGTCTAAAACAAAAATGAATATAACTATTGTGTGCGTTGGAATATTTAATTTGAAACATATGGTGTTATTCTTTTTTTAAAGGAATAATTCCGTAGTTTATTCGTATGGATCAGACGTCAAAAACACAATACACATTGTACACTTGTATATTTACTTACGTTTGTGTATGACAACTAATTTGCTTTCGTGGCCTAAGGATAAATGTCACCTTTCTCTGTGCATCAATTTTGGATCTGTCTATTATGTTTTTGACATTTTGATGTGACGTCATGTTTTAGGCTACACCAGTAATGTCCTACCTTTTCTGTACCAGCTGCCTAATGATAGAGACACACTCAGCACTAATTTATACAAACCCAAAATGTCTAACACCAGCTGTCATAGAATGATGCTTCATTTCTAATGCGATGGACGGGATGACTGACCATGTGTGGTCACTATCGAATCTGCAAATATTTTCTGAACAAAAGTCAAGAGATATATAGATTCAAAATTCTGTAACATCTTGGTCCAAAAGACAAAATGCGCCCGAAAGCAGTTCTAACCGATATTCGCCATTCTCTTATACGTTTCTGTAAACGCTTGTCTTTTGATTAACTAATTTGTCAGCGCACCGGGAATCAGGTGTAAGTAAGAAAAATCACGATTTCAAAAAGTAAAAAAAAAAAAATAAATAAAACACGAATTAATTAAAATATAGATTGTTTCCTTTTCTAGCTTACTTTTTCTTCCTAATAAATCTGACACAATTTCCATATTTTTTGAACAGGCAAAACACTAGCTCACGAATGGGCTCATCTAAGATGGGGTTTATTTGATGAGTATCCTATAGACCCACAGGATTCACCATTTTATAGATATAATGGACAATGGCATCCTACCAGGTAATATACAATTCCAAGGACATGTTTTGTCTGAAACTACTGTAGTGGTTGTTTACATCAAATATGTATACACGCACATTCATTTTTGTTTTTGCTTGGGAAGGGCGGAGCGGACAGCAACCGTGATTTATCTAAGCAGTGAACGGGATGTTGACTCTCTAACTAGGGAGTCTCAGGTTCGCCCGCTGTAGGCCGAGAATGTTCTTGGGGGATTTTCCGGCGTAGGTTTCACTTGTCAGATGTGCATGACTGGGGCATGACAACGTGTAGCGTCTAGTCATATGGATGAGACGAAAACCCAAGCTCTCTTGTACACGTTGCCGTACACGTAAAGAATCCTTCAGATTTAGACATACGACATTCCCCCATAGCACACTGCATGTCACAGAATCAGTGAATACACTATTATTTAACCTTAAATTAGTATCATAAATATATTTTTGTTTCGGTGTGTTTTCTAGATGCTCTACGGAAGTAGAAGGTGTTTTAAAGAATGAGAACAGTAAAGAAGGTTGTTTATTTGATATTTATACTGGTAAACCATCAGCCAGTTGTAAATTCTTTCCAAGAATGAAACAAAATAAGGCAGTAGCTTCCATAATGTTTATGCAGTATTTAGAAAGCGTAAGTATGATTTTAGAATACAACCTTATAATTATAATGCACAATAAAGAACAACTTCGATAAAAGGGATAGAAAGCCTCTGTAAAACTTATCTGTAACTATTGATCCCAAAGCCCAGCTTAAGCCCAGGGCTCCGCGGTTTAGCGGGCCCGCAGTTCATGGCAAAAAGAGAAAAAAATTCAAATTCCAGATGAAAGTTTCACGGTAATCGATCTAGCGGTGCGAGGGCGGAGACTGAGATATCCCTCAACCTTCCCTGTGAAGGACTAGTCGGTGATCGGTCTGCGCTTCGAGCGGCGCGATGGGCGGACACTGGGTGAGTCTGCAATCCCTCAACCTTCTCTGTGATTGGTCGAAACCCGTGACGTAGGCCGCATTCGGAATTGAATAGATTTCGTATGTGATCAGATATTATGTAATTATTTTTATATTACGGACCGTTTAATTGTGTGTTACGCATGCGTACCAGTCAAAACGATATGAAATAATCTTTTCGTCGCCTTAGGGGCCCCGCGATTCTAGTCAAGCCCAGGGCCCCGCTCCGATTAAGCTGAGCTTTGATTGGTCCCAGAAGTTTATGCCTTCTAATAAACGACCTGGCTACATACAGGGCACAACGGTATAGAATAACTGATAATTTGAGCCACCCGTCAACTAAGTATTTCAGTCTTTATCTGTGTGTAATATTTGTGTGTTCTTATTCTCATAACAAATTATTTGCATAACCGGTATGAGCTACTTGTAAAATGTGGACCATAACGCGAAAGATCTGGAACTTCTGGTGCTGAAAAGAGTGCCCGAATCGTAGTCCGGATAAATGTTTTGGATAGAAAACACTTCAAAATTTTTTTTGCCGCAGCCTTTGCTCTATTAGAAACAGTTAGTGAGCAGGAACACTATTCATAGAATCCAAAGTATTTTAAGAGTACTCCATCTAAAATATTTTAGATTAAGTTTCCCGTATTAAGCGCCAGGATTCTGAAACCGATTCCTATCCAAATGTCCGTGGCGTCCGCGTGAAATCATGTTATGATGGTAATGTGCCATACTAAGTTGCAGTACCACAACCGACGCCTATATCATTCACAATTTCTTTTGAACGCCATATTTAAATCAACAAATATATTGTTGCTTACAGGTAGTAGAATTTTGTGACGACTCCTATTCGGCACCATTTCACCTACGTCACAACAGTCTGGCTCCTAACCGACAGAACAGATTGTGTAATTATCGTAGTGCCTGGGAAGTAATGAGAAAACATTCAGATTTCAGTCCAGGTTAGAATATCTTGTAATAATATTTTTATCAGTTTCCATTTGTTCCCCAGGATTTTCCAGTGAGGTTTCCCCTTGTTAGTGGCACAGAACCAGCGTTTAGTTGTTCGGGAGTGACGAATACCGGGGCCCCGTGTACACCTCGGCGTGTGCGTAAAAGAAGTATTTTATTTTATTTTATTTCTGTTTTGATTTCTCATCAGTACGCCTTAGAAGTATAGGAGTATTATGTGGGCTAATCATTATACACTTATGGACGAAAACTATTTTAAGCGCTTTCATTGGAAATAAACTTGGACCCGACAAATTGTAACTTTTATTTGTAATGTAGTCAAGAAATCGGATTGATATATTAATTGCTATATAGTATTTATATTAAAATAAACGTCAGCACACGTGGCCATAACATTTATATTATTTCTACTCTAGAAATCTAATATATCATAAATATGACATTTGATGCACAAATGAACTATACAGACCTGGGTGTGCAATGTTGTACAGTATTATACTATGTCATATTACAAGATTTCAAAAAGGGGTCATTTTCATAGTTTCACTCTCATGCGGGTTTTTCATCGCAGTTGTTTGCTCAATTAAATTTGTTTTAGTCTGATTAAATCCATGCGGTGGGTTAAAGTCAGTCTTGCTCAAGACAAATAAAAGGCGTTCTTTAATATGTCGATTGAGAGGCGTTAATCCCTGGTAGATGAGCGGTTACGTCTGGTCAGTTGAAGACAAACTAAAGCTTAAAGATACATGCCAACGAATAGTGTAGCTATTTTCCGAAAATTTAGATAGACTGTAGAGACACCCAATCATACATTCTGCACACAGACTTAAAATATCGGTCAACTAGCTTAGTGTCTGTTCTCAAGCGGAGCTAACTGCAGACGGACAGCCTAAGTTTAGTATGCCAATCATATTAGAAAAAATAGTATGCCAAACCCCCATGGAGCTCGCACAAGACAAAAACGTAGGGGTATCGCTAATACTTAGTTTCAGAGCATAATCCAAAATTTAATTGGGCTTCGATATATATGGTAAATGCAAGCGGAAAATGGACCCTCCCTCAATCAAGTCGGGTCAAAAATGAGATTTCTTAAAATATATTTTTACGGCTTGGGGTAGTTCCTTGCGATTGAAATGTTTTGAGATAAATTTTAAGCAAACTTTGAATAAATGAATTAATTTTAATGTTTTTTTCTTTAATGTCCATTACTTTAACATGGTTAACCCAATAATCATCTAGTGACATAGTTGATTGACGTATGACATTAAGGTTAAACGTTTTATGTCATGACTCTTATTCTCTCTGGTATTGTGTACAATTGGCCTGTGTTCGTTCATAGATACGTTCTTTTCGCCAAATGGTTTAATTTTGACTGTATGTGTATTGTCTATTATCTTTTTCACGGGTGTATATCTATGTTGTCAATTTGATCGAAATGTGCGTCTACGATTGATCACAAATTCGTCACAAATTCATTTAAATGTCAGTTACATGAATACTAATCAATTCAGTGTTTATTTCTAAAGGTCCTGTTTCGATTTTATCCCACCATTTCCTTATACATTTACATCTTTTAGACATAAAATAAAATATACTAGTGATATACGTCATGCAAATAAACCTATATATCTTTCAATTGCAAAAAAAGGCATCATTTTGCCTTGTGCGTTGTATCAGAGGTGCATTGTGTACAGGTTAATCTGCATATTGCAGGTTTGTTTTATGGGTTGAAATGTTATAACCAGCACGCCCACATTTTGCAAGAGTTCGATAGAAAACAAGCTAAACAAAAACGCGATTTTTTGTTCAATCACGGTCCTTAATCACGTAACGGTGATATATTTAAACAGGTTTTTTTTTTTTAAAATCAGATAAAAATTGTGACAGCTAGAAGTTCCACAAGCTAAAAAACGTTCAATCACGGTCCACTATCAAGTAACGGTGATATATTTAAACAGGTTTTTTTTAAATCAGATAAAAATTGTGACATCTAGAAGTTCCACAAGCTAAAAACGTGATTTGTCGAACAATCAGGGGCAATAATTCAGGAAGTTACGTTACGATTTGAGTGATTATAGAGAGGAACCAAGATCTTTGTGATATAAAAATACATTTCAAGGTTCATTAAAATCGAATAAAAATTGTGAGTTCTAGAAGGAGCGACCATTTTGTCTGGCAGTTTCGGTTGAATTTTTATGAAATTCGAACTTAACCTTCATTGAGATGTAACGGTGATATATTTAAACGGTTTTTACCTTTGAATCCAAATTGTGACTTTTAGCGGGTCCACAAGCTAAAAACGTGATTTTTCGAACAATCAGGGGTCATAATCCAAGAGGTTACGTTCCGATATGCGTGATTAACGAACGCAACCCAGATCGTTATAATATAAATATAAATTTCAAGTTTCATCAAAATTGGATCAAAATTGTGACTTCTAGAGGATCCACAACCTTGATATGACATAATTTTACACTATTTGTGTTCGAAGAGATGCTATTTTGTCCGGCAGTTTCGGTCCTCAACCCTGGTGTAATGGTGATTTTTGTTTTAAAATCGGATACAAATTGTGACCTCTAGAAGAACCACAAGCTAAAAACGCGATTTTTCGTACAAACAGGGGTCATAGTCCAGGAAGTTATGGTCTGATATGCTCGTATATCGAAAGGAACCGAGATTTTGGGGTTTTAAACATACATTTCAAGTTTCGTTAAAATCGGATAAAAATTGTGACCTGTAGAGTGTCCACTAACGAATGTGAACGGACGGACGGACCTACGCACAGTATGGCGGACGGACAGGGGCGACGACAATATACGTCCACATGAAAATGTGGGCGTATAAAAAATATTATTTAGACTATTGGGTGACTGAGATATTAAGTGAATTAGACAATCCGCGCCATTTAGTTGGTTAACGTTAAAATGGTACTTGACAATATATTCATTATCTATTTGTAAACTATTATAGCAAGAACAGTTAGTCCTTTCTCTAAATCTAGTATAACGTCTCTTTAATTAATTCTATCGACATCATACATTTTGCTATTAACCTGGGCGTAGACTATTTTAATGACATATCTTATTATAGAGAAGAATATATTTATTGTGTGTTTACACATGTAATACTGGTTATAAATAAACATTTATCATATTCAGATGGTATGCAACAAAAATGTTATATTTATGTGCTTGATATTTTTGTTTTTCTCGTCTTTCATTTTAACTGCCACATCCCTAATATTTTGAAATCCGACATTTTCTCGTTTTGTCACTTTTTCCTTTCCTCACAAACTGCACTTTGTATGTAAAATTAGCTACGAGAATAAATAATGTGATGCCAGATTATATAGGTTTTAAGATAAGTCGGTTTAACCATGAGTCAGGGACGATTTACGTCATGAATTCAGAGTTTTTAACCACTCCTGAGTTTTGAGCCCCGCTCAAATAGAAAACATCGAGTGGTATCAATGCTTTTGGCAGATTCTGATCTTCGTTACTATATAATTATATTGCTCAACCATTGCCAACATATACTCCTAAAAAAGTAAGGAATATTCAGAAACAATACAAAACTGCGGAAATGCACTGCTGTTTTTATTAGAGGCAACCAGTGTATGTTAATAACAGGTCAATTGCCTACACAGTTCATATGGGCGGCTTATCTGACGGCCCCATTTCACTCGCAAAGAGATATACTGTCAAAAGTGAAAATGGACGTTTTTGATTTTTGTCTTAATAATGAGTAATTGCTCCACCAATCCTCAGACATTCAGCAATGCTCCTAATCAACCGTCCGATAACGATTTGGGGCAATCTGACCAACTCCTCTTGCAGTGTCACTGTCAATTCTTGCAGTGTTGTCGGTTGACGTTGACGTCGACGAACACGTCTCCCGGTCAAATTAAACGTAACACACTAAAGCAAAGATACGCTAAACAGTAAATCTTATGCAAGAACCGATAGGAAAGCAAACATGGATAGATAAACCAGCACACGGCAGTTTTCATCAACGCTTCCTTGAAGTGTCAAATTTGACAATGAACACCTCCCACATGTATGGCGCTAATGCGTGTCGCATGTGCAGCTCAGTGGTTCTGTTGGGGCGATAAGTTCTTCATCTGTGAACTTACTCTTAAAGCATGTCAAATGTCCATGACTATTTATCATATCGCAACCTGCATAGGTATTTGCATTTCAATATCCCCTACTTTTTTTGAAGAGTATATATCATGGCTCAGATATACTATAAATCAACTATGGCATGCTCTAAACAGTCAAACCAATATAAATATCGGATTTTTGGGCCTACATGGGATCTTATTCCTCATTCAATATCAACAGTCACGACATATTCGGTCATCACGTCCCTGTCATGATTAACAATCGTCTTTCTTGCCATAATGTTGTCATCCTCGGTTACCCAGTGTACTCATTTCGTTCTACTCCACTATACCCTGGGTTAATCCATAGGGTTTCCACGATTTCAAATTATCTGCCCTGGCATAGAATGTAGCTACAGTTTACGAACCAATCAGAAAACAGTTTACAAACCAATCGTTTCGCCTTCGTTTTTATAAGGGTAGATAACCATATTCATGTCCATTTACTGAATGATTTATGTAAATAATGTATATATTTATAATTTATTTATATTTAATTGTATTATCAAAATCTGTAGTATGTGTTGTTGAGATCAAATATGGATAACATCTATATGTGTGACTTTTGTTATTATTATTACTATTCGTTCTTTGTCTGAAATATGTCATTCTGCTATGTTTATTATTATTGAACTTATACTTGGCAATTTGATTCATAACAACTTGCCTACGATATCACGTGGACATAATATTCCCGGAACGAACGAACTAAATAAAACTAATGACCCTACATTATTATAAAACGTCTCGTCTTCATTAACATAACATATAATTGGTTGTTAATAATTACGCATTTAGAATAGGTCAACTCCTAACATTGTCCGATGTAATGTTGTAGGGATAATTAGATTTTCAAGAATTTTGACGACAAAGACGCATTAAAGCAGATTAATTTGTCCCCAACAGTCAAATACAAAATAAGATGAATAAATACGAATAAAAGTTCATTTATTGTTTACTAGATTTCATTATAGTGTAAAATATTTTTATTCTGTTTCAGATACAAAACAGTTGCCTCAAGGATATGATACCCAGCCTTCTTTTAGATATGTACAAGTTCGTCCAAGACGTCGAGTACTGGTCCTTGACACTAGTGGTAGTATGACTGTACGTTTGATTCTGTATAATGAAATTAGACAATAATGCTTAAACATAACCATGTAAGAAGGGTATTTTTAAAATGGAAGTATAATGTACGGAACCCAAGTCGTTTAAACGAGATACATTATGCAAGAACTAAATCTGCCCATTACAGGTCTTTCTTTAGGCATTTATTAACATGAAAAGACCATAATCAACTCTCGATGCCATCTTATGTGTCAGATTTTCATTGGATTTGAATCAGATCTACTGTTGATACATAGCCGCAAAACTGGATAATCGATACTTTGTTAATAATCGTGACAGCGGTAACAATGACACTCGAGGCTACAGTGATTTTAAAATAAGGGTTTCTCGGCTTAGAGCGAAGCAATTTGACTAAAATGTTTAGCATATTCCCTTTACATTACCTAGTTTTTAACTATTATAGTGAGAACTGTCTAATCTTCCGTAATGTATATTTGATTTTTTCACAATTAATTTCAGGGTTCGTCACTAAAGATATTACGGCAAGCAGCTAGTAATTTTATAATGAACACGGTAGAAACTGGCAGTTCGCTAGGTATTGTAGAATTTAACACAGAAGCTTCCACACTATCAGATTTAGTGAGCATTCAATCTAGAGAAGACCGAGAAATATTAATAAATCGTCTTCCAACAACAGCTACTGGAAAAACCAGCATAGGTGGTGGACTGAACAAAGCTATAGAGGTAGGTTCTTGAGTCATTTGACCAAACTAGGGATTACCCAAGTCAATAAGAACACGAAGTAAGAAGACTTGACGTGTATAATATTCAACGAACCAGTACAATTATTTAGTATTAAAAAGGTGTCTACACGATACTCTTCCAGCAAAATTAAGCACCGTAAACTTTGAACTGGGTACAAAAGTGTAAAGATTCTAAATACGAGACCGGTAATGACAATTGTTTGATTAGATTAATCCCAAATCATCAGAAGAAATAAGGTCCGTAACATTTTATTTGCCTATATAATTCATGTTTGCTTACATCCAAAATCTTATACTCCGAAACCATGAATGTCCAAACATTGGTCTTCGGTTCTCGACCAATAAATCAACAGAAATTTAAATGCAAAGATGCCGGTTTGGGATGTATATAGTTCGTCTATATAGTAAACTACAATGGTCACTGGAATGGGGCCGACTATAAGCTTTGTAGGTCAAGGCAAGTAATTTATTTTATACAAATCCGATCTTCATACCCATCTCACATAATTGTCATATAAGCTGTCAACAAATCCAAAACGTAAAAAGATATGTTTTACAGGTTACTAATATTATCCGTGTAAACATCCGGTTATATTTTCTCTATTAAAAAAAATATAACATATAAATTAATTCACAGAACACATAATTGTTATAAACTAGATAATGCAAAGGCAATGTGCTGAACATTTCATTCAAATTGTTCCACTATGAACCGAGAACTAAGCAGTTGAAATTTCCGGCTAGCCTTGATCATCATTACTAAAGTCAGTACGATAAACAGCATAGTCTCGATTATCCATTTAATCGTTAAATCGTGAAGGAAAGTTATGTAGTAAATCGCCACATAATCCACTAAAGATCGCAGGCTAGCGATTATGGTCTGGATAGGTTAATTAATGTCTAATTAATAATTTAGATAACATTTCTTCAGGCCTAAAGAAAGACCTGCAATAGACAGATTTAGCTCTTGCATAATGTATGTTTAACATAATTCATTTGCCTATATAAAGCGTTTAAAAACAACAGAAAGAATGAAAACGATGCCTGTATTTAACGGATTAACCTTAATTCTTAATTCGTATGTTTGACTATTTCTTGTAAAAAAAAAAAAAAAATTATATTGCCACTTGAAACCATCAGCTGCTTTAATGTACCAATTTATGTTCGGGTTTCTTTTTGAAAATCATCGATTAATAAAACACACCCATACAAAAGAGTGGAAGAGCATAAATATTGCTGATGACGTTTTCTTGGTACTTCCACCAGTTTATCTTGTGGACAGGTGTGATTTTGAGACATTTCGTGTCAAATCGCGTGTATTACAAGCATGTCAACAGTCAACAGCATTTGAGAACCGTTGACAATATTATTGTATGTTTATATGAAGTATATAATAACATGAAACCACCCACAGGCATGTATTGGGTGTAGGGCTATTTATACTTTAATCTAAATAATAACGTCAACCCACTTTTCCGAGAACCTGATATTCAATAAGGGGTTGACGCTTTGTGAACTACAATATTGCCTTGGCATATGGACAAACAGAAGAATGCGCGTACACATTGCGCCTTGAATATTACTAAAGAATATGCCTATTTTATAGTTTTAATATCTATTGTCTGGCAACAAGACTGTGACAAGTTACTGTTACAGTTTGGAATGCTAACAACTGAAGATTAATCTGGTAATTTGAATAAGATATTTACTTAATAGAACACTTTGGCTAAAATTCGTCACCTATTTGACAATCACGAGGAATTGATATAGTCCGTGGCATCGATGTTAGCATACGAACTACACTTTACACATTTTTTCATATATCTAATGAGAAATCTTCATGTATTTATATTTAAATATGGACTATGCAAGAGCTAAATCTGTCTATTGCACGTCTTCCTTCTGGCTTAAATGTTGTGATAATTATTATTTAGACATAATCAACTATCAAGAACATCGGATGACTGAAATAGGGAATGGATCGGACCACCTGAGCCATATAATCGGTTAACATTCAATTGGACGTCACTCAATAAATGGCTTGACAAATCGTTTATTATAAATTAGCAATTGTAGGCCTACTTGCCAATCAGATATTTCTTGTCTAAACTTCAAACACTCATAACTTCGCTCAGAATATAGTAATTTGGATGAAAATGTCAATATTTCATTTTTTCATGACCTATTTGTGAAGCATCGTATAGCAAGAACTGTCAGCTCTTTATCCAAGAAGTACATAAGTACATAATGTAAACATTAAATTTTTATGAATCAAATACAGCTGGTTTTCTGGAAATTTTGTTCAGTCACAGTCGTAGAATGATACAAGCACAAATTGAATATAAACATAACAATGTACGTGTATTATTAAACACAAATTCAATTTGGAAATGGTTATTTTGCATTGACAATACAGTTCTTTATATCACAAGATTTCTTTTTTTGCCAAAACTAGTCTTATGATTTATTATGACAATGTGTATATTAGTATGACATTTGTTGGTAACATGCCCATGAAAGATAAGCTTGCATTATAGACCTAAGAAGACGTTTGTCACATTAATGAGCTAAATTAGACGTCTGTCATAAATGTTGTGTCATCTTTCGTCACGAATTGCGTTGACTAACTGTTTCAAAAAAAAGAAAAAAGGTGTTGTCTATTTCTATATAATTATTAGCTATGTTATTGGTGCCATCGAAAACGATTCAGCCTATAATCACTTGGCACAAATGTGAAATGAAATGAAATGGGGTTTAACGTCCTATTATTCTGCTCTGACTGAGCTAATGGAGACGAAATGTGTCACACAGTGTGCTATGAGGGAAAGTTACCTGGACAGCGATACTCCGGCCTACTCTAATTTCGAATACAAACGACTATACGTTGTCCCTTGCATCACTGACAAGGGTAAACCTCCCCGAAAAAAACAAATGAACTGTTATCAAAAATGTTAGCTAAATGTCGAGGGTTCTAATTCCTAAAATGGATACATGTATTATATAAACTATTTTAATATAATCGACACCTTATTTTAAGATTAATTTTGTACGATTTAAATAAAGAGCTGACCGATAATAAAAAATGAATATATTGAAAATCTCAGTAATTACTTTATTCTTTGCGAAGTTTAGGGTGTTTGAAGTTGTAATAAGATGATCTCGAATGTCAAGTACCACTACTACAATGATGAACAAAAAATATCGATTATCTGATTGTGCGGTGTTATTATCCATTCAATATATAAGCCGATGTCCTAGAGGGTTGATTATGGGCTTGACATGTAAATAAATAACTGTCTAAATAATAACTTATATGACATTTGAGGCCAGAAAAAAGACCTGTAATAGGCAGATTTATCGGTTACGCTGTACATCGATAAGTAAAATAAATTATTTTAAAGTATCTTAACACTAGTTGCCACACAAACTTAGGTTTAATATTATACTTTCATGAAAAAAAGGTTAAAAATCTTTTTACCAAAAAGTCGTAGACGTAAATCATTTACTTACATCCTTATTTTCAGGCTCTTCGATTTTCGAAAAGTGGTGTCGGTGGCACGTTAATCCTTATAACAGATGGCCAGGAGAATCAAGCACCATGGATAAAGGATATAAAACCCTCTTTGTTAGAACAGGGGGTTATGGTTCATGCTTTGGCCTACGGTCAAAAGGCCGAAACTGATATCTCACTACTGGCTGATGAGACTGGGGGTCGAACTTTTTTCTTCTCCGGTGAACGCCAAGCATCGTTAGTAGAAAGTCTGGCAGCAATGGTTCGACAGCAAACAACGTCAGAGGGATTTGAAACACCAATCACTGTAAGATATAAATTGATTATTGTTTATCTTGCTTGGTTTTTATCTAATTTGAGTTTTACATATATCTTGAGGTACCATGTAAATTTTGCTAAAGAGCCGTGAAGTAACGTTCAAACCTGCCAAGCTACAGCGATGTATCATTTATGTATGCTTCTACCTTTTCAGATTATTTCAGAGACTCAAATAATAAATCGAGATACACCTCACAAAGGGACTTTTCACATTGATTCTGATCTTGGTAAAGATACAGTCTTGACATTCATGCACCAAGATCCAATAGACGTTGTTATCAGGGGACCAGATAATACAACGATTGCAGTAGCAGATAAATCTTCGAGTTTTGACCAAACTATGGACGGTGGTATGCTGCGAATTTCCTTAAACGGCACTATTGTGGTAACAACCATTACTTTAGTTCAATATCAACAATGAAATTGTGTTTTGAGTAAAGCTTTATTAAAGTGAGCAGGTGAACGTGATTTTTACTGCATGCTTACTTGATAACAAAATGACAACACTATGCAGAGTCAGTCTTTAAATTATCCAAAATATAACTAAAGCTATAGTCATTCTTAATTTTAAATGAAAAGTTATATACGCTTATAATAAGAGTTCCAGTTTGCAATCGCACTGGAAGATTGCATATGCAATCTGTTTAATTAACTCAGGTGCTTGAACCCATTATCTTCTATTTATTTTAGCCCGGCGAATGGTCATACGAAATAAACAGTTGGCGAATGGGAACAGCCGTAACAACAAGTGTTATATCACAGTCAGCTGATAATAAAGATGAAATAATCCATACCAATTCCTGGATTTCTCAGAATACCGTTCAGTTTGACCCGAAAGGGAAGTTTGCTGTGTTCACAGAAGTGAGAAGTGGAAATGCTCCAGTATTAGAAGCAGCAGTACATGCATTTTTTGAGGGACCATCATTGGCATCGGGAATCATTAATTTGAAAGATAATGGAGTGGGTTAGTATCCCTTCAACGTAAGGAGCGTATTCGAATGGTTGAACCAAAACGGAATTAAGAACCTGGCGATTCGTTCATATAAGGGTGCTCTTTAGGGGGACTGTCTATCTGTTTTAGCTCAAAATGTTCAGCAACAAGTTTGGTATTCCAAGTCACACAGGAAAATGCCTGGTATAAATGTGGCACTGGCGCTTTGTGTCCTTTTTTTTTTGACAAGCTAGCTGACTGTATCGAGGGAGTTCAAATAAGATTGTACATTTTTCATTTTTAGCTCAATAATGGACGATTATTTAAATAATTATAGCCTATAGCAGAATCAAGGATGTTCATATTATTAGATTGGGTGCTGAGATACGGTCTTTAAGATTTCAGTTCACACAGTTTAAATGGTCTTGATGGAGTTTAATAAACGCGCGTACGTAATACCGCCATTATATAAAGTAATGCTGTACCTGGAATGTAGATAGTTAGGTGAATCTAGGGTTGTTTGGAATATGATATTGAAATATATTTAATTCCATTTCTGTTTGAAACTGATAATGCCAAACAAATTCGTTTCTGGTTTTCGATTACCCTAACGCCAATCAGGCCTATCGGTAGTGGAACAGTCTCTCATGGACAACGTCCTCTGGCCGTTCCTGCCATGAAGATGCCACTCTAAGGCTTTTTGGAGTTCTTACCTTCTTTTTTTTTTCACTGTAATTCTTCTTTGTTCGTCAAAAGGAATCATTTCCCGACACATCAGCCACCAATTTTTAATAGTCCAACACTATTTGGAAGTAGAATTGCTTAATAGGAACGGACAGGAACGGTCAAAAGTCTCAGCCTATCTGGGAGTTGGTTTTATAGCCGTCGTTATGAATTACATTAGTGAGTCACTTATTAGCGAGTTCATTATTCATATTATAGCTTACTTATATTGGCTACTTTGTTTTAAAAATTCAGGTTCGGATTTAATTAAAGGAGATGGTATCTATTCAGCATATATTCTAACACGTGATCTAGCTGGAGACGGACGTTACAACATTAAGATAATTGTAACAGGATATAATGATAGCACAAAAATCGTTACTAAAGGTGGTCGTTCTGGAGCATTAGCTGTTGGAGATTCAGGTAGGGTTCGCCAATCTGCATTGTTTTGCATTATATGATATCTAGTAACGTTTTAATAACATAATAACCAGAAAACTGCATAACCATAATGGTGCACTAAATACAAATAATTTCAATGTTAGCCCGAAGCTGTTTAGCTACGAGAACTTCCCACATTACAACATCCCGAGCCTCTTAAAGTTAGTCTTTATGGTAGCAGAATAGTAGCAGTTGTCCCGGAAAAAGTAAGCAACTATTTCATATTGGAAGGTAACTCCCCACGTTTCATAAAGTAACTGTTCTTCATTACATTCATCAGAAGTGTGTAGAGTCAAACCGTTTCTTATCTTATTCGCCTTAAACTGTATTATATATGATTTTGTTATTTCCTTTCAGATGGAGTAGCTAAACCAGAACTGAAACCAAGTGAAAATTTCGAAAGGGTGGCTTCAGCAGGAGAATTCCGGGTTGTGGGATTTCCTACCAATGTAAACACAGCTATACCAGACGTCATACCACCGTCACGAATTACAGATTTCGACGTTACATCATTTGATCAGGATACGGGAGAGACCATATTATCTTGGACGGCTGTTGGAGATGATATGGACAAAGGCACTGGTACGTCCCAGTACAATTTATTGCCAGGAAACTTTTTTTTTCATGGATAACATTTCATGGTTCGGTAGACAGATAAATTCATAGATCATATTACGCACAAACACATTATATATCTCCATGTTTGCATAGTTCTGCCATAGTGGCGTTAGCAATATTAAACCCCCATTTCTAGTTTGATAGCGTAAAAACTCAAAGATGAATAATAACCATTAACGTTAGTCAATCTTAGTTGCTTGTGTTACTTGTCAAAAATATATTAGCATTGAATGTGTAGGGAGATATGAAACTGAATATTTAAAAGGGGTGTTTATAGTGTCGGGAACCCCATTTTACCTGAAGATGGGTCGAATATAGGGACATCTCCGGGAATGGATACGTATAAGAGAAAGCAAGATTTTATCAGAATAGCGGGTGTTTTGGGTGTTTGAAATTGAAGGGTCATTGCGAATGCGACACAGGCCTTCATCAAGTTCTGAGATCAATATGAACTATTTCAATTTACGACAATACATATTATATATTTTTGTTTTTTGTTTTATTTACAGCTAGCAGATATTACATCCACTTGGCGAATAATGTATCAAGTGCCTTACAAAATCTGGATGAAACCACATTAGTAACTGACATCCATATCCTAGAAGGCAGTCTAGAACAACCCAAAGGGCCGGGGGAATTGGAGACCATAACTTTAAATGTAACATTCACGGGAAATAATACAATATACGTTGTCATTAGAACAAGCGACAAAGAAAACAATTTTGGTGACGTTTCAAACATCGTGACGTTGTCGTACACAACGGAAATGTCTATAAAAATAGAAGTACGTGCGACTTATATGGAATACGTAACGATGGTGTTGATCCCCGTATCTGCCTTCTTGTTTTTGTTAGTGTTGGTAACGTGTGCCTGTATATGCTGGACTAATAAGGCTCCACGCGACACGAAGATAGAAGGGAAGCGTAATTCTGTTACCTCGTTCAATTCGACAGATCTGACTTATATGAACTATGCAATGGATGGACAATACGTTGTACGCGTAGATGAAGAAGAAGCGCGAACGTGGAGGGAATAGTGACATTGTTTATTCCTGTATAAGGTTCTTGGTCAAAATATATAATAACAATCTAATTAAATAAGACCATACTTTTGTTTCTTTTTAATTGTTATGTTCTATACAGTAAGGTCTAACAACATCTTTAACAGGTTTATGTCCAACTCATTATCCCAATCGTTCATCTATCCAACAAATGAAAGCTTTACCTTGGTCAAGAATGATTTTCGCCAATTGCAGTGGCTAAAATAAGATTTCGTTAGTCAACAGAGAATTGATAAGTAGTAGTTAGATCTTCATGTTACGAAAATAAAAGCTATAATGAAAAAAGGTCATTTTTTCATTAAGAATGTTCCCTTCCCGGTCGAGGGCGCTATTATTCAATGCCATTAAATTAAACACTACTTTATGAGAAAGTCTCGACGGAGATGTTCCCTGCTGGCCTAGGTATGATTTGAGGATGGTGAAAGACCTGCTAATCGGCTTACTTAATAAAAATAGTTAGTAAATAACTTAATCTGGGGCAATCAGTGTTAATCTTTATAAATCGTGCAGTTTACGATCAGGTAGTTTGTATCCAAAAACCAGCGAAAGAATTTCACTTTACTTAGTTAGAATTTAGAGATGCGAAACAACTTCGTCGATAAAATAAATTTGTAAAAAGTCCAAAATAACACGGGCCTTACTGAACTATCGACATCCCAGGCTGCATTTTGTACGAGCGTTCGTTAAACTCTTTCAAAACCACTAAAACATGTAAAAATGAAAATTTGAACGACTGTATCTCATCATTCAATGAAATTACAATAACCTTGATTCGACTGTACTATAATCAAACAGTACATTATTTTGTACTGACTGACGAAGATCACCAAAGTGTTAAAAGTCTCTCATTAATTTATATGTAAATGATCGCCCATTATTGGGGTTAAAAAGCAACCTAAAACAATGAAGGGTAATATTTCTAGCGGAAACCGGTCTCAATATTTTTACAAGTGTACAATGTACTAATATGTGATAAAGAAGTACGTTTCAATGAATGATATTGAATACTATTATTTAAACTACAGATATCTTCATATTGTTTTGGAATTAGACTCTTTGACCACTAATATTCGTCTCATGATATGATATGATTGGTAGACTGCTTATGCTAGGTTCCCACTGCCATGCGATGCGTTAAAATAGGATTGTCCCTATAACAAGTCCACGATCTGGTACGTTCGGATATGTTTCGATACGATCAACACGACTGCTATACGACTGACCTCAGTATATGATAAGACCTGAAAGGATCAACACGATTACTCCAAGATTTCAATGGCAGCACGAATTGTGATAGGGAACCTAGAATAATATTTGTTTGTTAAGCAGTTGGGTTAGTCCAGAAATATATCTCGTGCCATAAAATTTGTTTATTTTTATTAAAAAGCTATTTTGTATACATTTTAAATGGTTTGTTGTAAATGTGTAGAATAAATATAAAAAGAAAATGATTGAAAAATGACAAGCGTGGGCTGGATTATTTTTTTTTCTGTCATTGTGGAGTTGCCGTCTTAACAGCATTATAGGCCCCCGGGCAAAGCAGTGCACTTGTGACACTACGGAGGGTTACGTCGAGACTATCCTCCGTCGCGGCACTACACCCCCCCCCCCTCAAAAAAACAACGGTATAGATGTGATACTACGGGGACAGATGTGACTAATCAGGAACTTTGAAAAAACGGCACGTGACACTAGGGTGACACTTATCTAGTCAGGACTTTCACGCTGTGTATATGATGAATTAACTCTGGTCTCCACGTTGTGTATAAACTACATTGTATTTTCCAATAATCAATTAACTGTAATACAATAACACCCATAATACAATGTTTTCGATTTTACTTTTCGGCAGCATAAGAACGATGGCGACAGAGGCTAGCTCACCCATGTCAATGGCTGACGCTTTTAAAAGCAGCCCTGCACCAAAGTTCTTTCCTGCGACAAAAAGGAGAGAAGAACAGACCCACGTCGTACTTGTGAGGCCACTGGAAGGTAAGTCCTTCCAAGGAGCCAAACTTACGGCTGTGGGGAAGGAATTGAAGAGTAAGTGGGGTATTATCAACATACCCGACATAAAGATCACAGTGCCGGGACATGTTAGACTTACCCTAAAAGGTAGGTCTGACATGGACCTAGCGCTGGCCCAGAACCTACTTCTCGGTATGACCGTGACGGTGTCCGAACCGATCACCTTGTCACCTTGATAAGGTGGTTGTTCATGGGATACCGGCCGAATATACCGGGGAGGAAATTCTGGAAGATCTTACAGAGAGGGGGTACCATGCTACCGAGGTATATCGGTTTAATGTGGCCCAGGGGAAGGATCAGGGAAGCGTCGCCCTATCCTTCAAGAAAGGTACCGTACCTGAGGCCCTTAAAATCGTGTACCTCAACCGCCGTACCCACCCCTATGTTCAGAGGGTGAGGCAGTGCGCCAACTGCCAGAAACTAGGACATACGGTAAAGTACTGTAAGGGAAAAACCGTATGCGCCCAATGCGGAGGAGAACACGCGGTGGCTGAGTGTAGGGTGGGTAGCAAAATTAACTGCTTAAACTGCAAGGGCAGCCACGCAGCCAACTCCCCGCAATGCCCAAGAATACAAGCGACCAAAGCAGCGCTACGTCTGCAAAGCAAAGATAAACTTACCTTTAGGGAGGCAACCCAGCAAGTAAAGAACAAGGAGAGAGAAGCATAAGTAGTCAGAGAACCGGTGGTGGAACCAAAACAAGCTCCAGCACCGACTCTCTCGACGTCCGATGCAACCCCCACCCCTAAAGGTAAAGACAAGAAGAAGAAAGAGAAGAAAACATCTACCAAACCTGTAGAGGTCAAACAGAAGACAAATCCATCCAAGAAGAAAGAAGAGGAACCGAAAACGAAGATTCATGAAGAACACTTCATTCCTAAATTTAAAACGGAAAGTGGCTTCATGAACTTCATGATCGAGTTCCTCAGGATGTCCGTGTCCAATGAGGACCAAACTACCAAGATGGCAAGCCTACTCGGCAAAATAAAGACACACATGGTCAACGCCGATGTCCTGTGTGTCATGATTAATTCAATCAACACGGTAAAAAAAAGATCAAGAGAAGAAGACGACGACGAAGAAACCACAAAAGGCGATCAAACGGCAAACCTCGCACTCCGTAGAAGGATATCTCATGTTCGTCACTACAGCACTAGCGATATGCCCAGTTGCTTGCCGGTTTTAACACCAAAGACGAACACTAATGAGGTACCTCCTATGGAATGTGAAACGCCAATTGACCAATAAATAGACAAGACAGAGAGGCATCCATCTGGACAGTCAACATGGTGGGCCAGGTAAAAGTTCTACAACTAAACGTTAATGGACTGGCTCCCAGATGTGCTGAGCTGAGAAAATACATCACCCGCAACCCGAAAGATGTAATATGCCTCCAAGAAACCAAGCTACTACCAACCAAGAACGACATCTACTTGCCCGGATACACTTGTCAGAGAATGGACAGACCGGGCAGCACGACACGTGGCGGCGGTCTTGCCATCTACGTCAGTGATAACTTAAATTATATTTCTGTTTCGCTTGACGTAGAGGACCCTCTAGAAGCAATGGGCATAGCCATCACATTGAGCAATAATACAAAATTGACAATAGTGAATGTCTATGTACCCCCAGATGTCACGAGAAAACCAGTTGACTTCCAGTCACTTCTCGACCAGCTTCCTCGGGGCGAATTTGTGTTTTGCGGGGATTTCAACGCAAAACACGTCCTGTGGGGGTCACCGAGGAATGACTGTCGGGGGATTAGCCTATGCTCAATAATAGAAGAGAACGACCTATGCGTACTGAACGACGAGAGCCCTACTTTTGTTGGAGGAAATGCCCCACCTTCACACCTGGATCTCACGCTCTGTACGCTTGGTATGGCAAACCGCTGCGACTGACAAGTACACGAAGATGAAACACTTGGCAGCGACCATCTACTGATAGAACTCTGCATCCAATGTGAAACAACCAGGGAAGTCTATAACGGGAAACCCAATTGGAAAATAAAAGAGGCTGATTGGGCTAACTTCCGTGTAGGCTGCCTTGTGTGGAAAGAAGAAGACATCATCGATGCCAACATCGACGTGTACGCAGCCAACATCACGAGTGCTATTATAGACTTCTGGAGGGCAATCAAGGATTAGAAAACCTTGGTGGTCACCAGAATGTCAGAAGGCGGTTAACGAAAGAAAGAAGGCACTACGCCTACGGAAACGCCACTACAATGAAGTCAATCACCAAAACAACCTGAAGTTGAAATACGCCGCACGAGACACCATCCGGAAGGCACAAAGCGAGCACTGGATGACATTCTGTAATGCGTTGAATCAAAACACGCAAACAGGTGCCGTCTGGAAGAAGCTGAACGCCATGAACGGGAAGCGCAGATCATTCAACATACCAAACCTAAAGAATGGAGATGAGTACGTTACCAACGGCAATGAAAAGGCAGATCTACTTGCATAAGTTTTTGCTGACGCAAGCAGGCACGAAAACCAATCACCAGAGTTCCTGAAGAGAAAGGAAATCTTTTACTCACAGCACCCTTCATTAGAAATTGAACCTAATGAAGGGGCTAAACCAATCAATCTACCCTTCTCTGAGGAGGAGTTAAATAAGGCTCTTTCCCTCAAGAAGGATAGTGCGGCTGGTGAGGACAAAGTAAAGTACTCGATGCTCAAACATCTGCCTAGAAATGCCAAAAGGATGCTACTAAACTTCTTCAACACATCCGGGCTGGCAGGAGAGGTACCCAAAGAATGGCGGAAAGCCAACGTCATCCCTCTTCCAAAACCAGGTAAAGAGAGAACAAAGGCATAGTCCTATCGACCAGTAAGCTTGACATCCACACTGTGCAAAACCTTGGAAACAATGGTTAACATACGACTACAGTTCTATCTGGAGAGCAACCGACTGATCGACGAAAATCAAAGCGGGTTCAGGAAAGGGCGTTCAACAACGGACCACTTGGTGAGACTACAGCAAGTCATGTCGCAGGCACTCCTCTCTGGGAACCTGTTATGTGTCGTGTTCGTAGATTTAACTACGGCTTTCGATTTAGTCTGGCTAGACGGGCTGCTCTTCAAGTTAGGACGTATTGGTATAACGGGCATAATGTTTCGATGGATCAAAAGCTTTCTGAGCGACAGAAGGATACAGGTGAATGTAGGCAGATTCCTGAGTGCCGTGCAAACATTAGAAAATGGCACGCCTCAGGGGTCGGTTATCAGTCCCACTCTCTTCAATATCATGATCAACGACATACAGAAATCTTCCTACCTCGACGCCAAAACTGAGTTAGCCAAATTTGCTGATGACAGTACCATATGGAGGAAAGGGAGGAACTTCTGTGAACTGCAAAAGAACATGCAGAAGGCCTTAGACAAATTCATGGCATGGGCAAACGATTGGGGATTCAAAGTCTCGGAGAAGAAAACAGTCGGCATGCTTGTAAGCAGGGATAGAGGGATAAACAGAATGACTCTGTGTATGAACAGGAAAACCATCGAGTTTAAAGACCAAACCAAGTTCCTTGGCGTAATCTTTGACCGAAGGCTGACCTGGAAACCGCACATCGACGAGACTGTAGATAGATGCACCAAAATCCTAAACTTAATGAGGAAAATAACGGTCAGCACATGGGGTGCCAATAGAGTTACATTAATGGTGGTGTATCGTGCTCTAATACGCTCTGTATTAGACTACGGCTCTTTGGCCTTCATGAACTGTGCGCCAAAACTCTTAAGTAAGCTTGACACCATCCAATACAAAGCTCTGTGTATTGCGACCGGCGTAGGGCTTGGGACTAGGAGAGAGGCATTACTACAGGAAGCCGTGGAGTTGCCCCTATCCCTAAGAAGAAAAGAACTAGCGACAAGGTATTGGGCCAAGATCTCGCAACTGGGCGAAAGATCCCCTACTTTTGTCAGTCTACAAAAGACAAGATATGTAAGAGATCCTAGAAAGAAAAGCTTCCGCCAGGGTATCAGGGAAACAATCAAGGAACTGCAACTGGGGGGGCTTGTGATAAATGAACACGACCCCCCAGCGATCGCCCCTTGGACGCTCCCTATACCGCCGGTTAATCTAGATCTACTACAGAAAACTGACAAGAAAAACAAACCCCACTGCTGCACGTGCTTTCTCTCTAGAACACCTGGAAGACAACTGGCCGTCTGATGACTGGGACCATGTGTACACGGATGGCTCACGCAATCCTGAAAAGGACACCAGCTCGTTTGGAATATACCTGCCAAACCGGAAACGGAATAAGCAGGAAACTGCCCAATAATTGTTCGGTGTACACTGCAGAGCTTGTGGCCATTCGTGACGCTATATCATGGATTTCCCATCAAAAGACTAGTACGTTCGTGATTCCAAGCGACTCTCTGAGCAGTCTGATTTTAATCCAAAATGACAACTCGGACTCAAGACCAGAAGTTATTTTGGAAATCAGGCAGCTGTACCAGAGGGTTATAGAGAAGGGAAGCAAAGTAGAACTCGTGAGGATTCCATCACATGTCAACATTAGAGGAAACGAGGAGGCAGATCGACTCGCCAATGAAGGTCTCAAGGACACAGCACCACTCCGCACCATAGACTACAGCACCACGGAAATCTACAGTATGGTCAAAAGACAGGTCAATTCAATCTGGGAATTAAATCTCGTTGAACTTGAAACATACAGATTCTGGCTGGATGACAAGATCTACACAAAGACAACACTCAATCACCCTAGAAGAGATATTTGTAGACTTATATCGAAGCTAAGGGTGAAAGAGCGGCTGCGAGACTACAAACACCAAGTCATCATCTGTGAGTGCGGAGAAGAATGTACCACCAACCATGTCCTGGTAGACTGCGAGGTATACGAGGAGGAGAGAAGGGAACTAGTGAGAACAATGGAGACCAACAACATACCATTCAACACTAAGAACCTACTCTTCCCGAGACCAGATCTGAAACTGCAAATCTTCGAACAAATCCACGCCCTAATAGACACAGTTGGACTAAGTAGAATAGTGAAGTAAGAGGGGGTCACGGTTAGACGGGCCCGGCATCTAAACACTAAACTACATAGGGGATTTATACCAAACTGGCAGGATAGTGGAGTAAGGGGGAGTCACGATCAGACGGACTCGGCATCTAAACACTATTCCACCAAAAACAGACACCAAACCTACAGAGTGGGATAGTGGAGTAAGGGGAGGTCACGATAAGACGGGCCTGGCACCTAAACACAAACCCCACAAAGATGACATCTACCAAACTAGCAGGATAGTGGAGTAAGGGGGAGTTACGGTCAGACGAACTCGGCACCTAAATACTATTCCGCAAATAAAACTGATACCAAACCCAGAGAGTGGGATAGTGGAGTAAGGGGAGGCCACGATAAGACGGACCTGGCACCTAAACACTAAAACGATGTCATCTACCAATCCAGAAGCAGACGAGATCATCTACCAAACGATATGTTTTATATTAAATAAAGGGAAGAACTTCCCACTAAACCAAATCCATGGCCTAAGGCCAAATGGAAAGATTGCAAAATCATATTCTAAAAAACAGGAATCAGCTTCGGCTCTCCTATGTCTTGTCTGCGATATCACTTATGTGGAAGCAGACGTTAAACACCAAGAACGAACGAACGAACGAACAAATGGCTCCATACATGAAACTACACACACACGGTTATGACATGGGATATACGCTAAATATAAGTTGTCTATCCCCTAGCTTGTGTTTTGCGGCGATGTGTTTCCCAGTCTCTCAGCCGAAGAGGCTGTGGGAACGTTCTTCTAGGAACTCCAAAGTCGTGTCGGTATCTCGGCCTCTAAGCTGAGGCGGATAGTCGTACGGCTAGGAACGCCGGTGATGTCTGAAGGGAAATTTAACCCCGCTGTTTTTTATATAGAAAGTATAGGTGCTTTGTGTTTCGTATCGGCGCCATTTTACGTCAACATTATTCTATTTATATGAACTAATCTGTGCACGAGATGGCTGGATGAGAGGACCCTACTTTCAGCAATTGATGGCGACAGGAACCGTCTTTGAGTTAGCCTAAGAAACTTGAATCTTGCAAAATATCTACTTAGCCTATTTCTCGCTGTCCGCCATTGTTTAACCACTTCAATATATTAAACAGAGCACCTTTCCTAGAACTAAAATAACCCCTATAGTATTTATTACACACTGGAGTCCCTGCCTACACAACTTCTCACAGGAATAAAAATGTAAAGGGTCGATAAAATGAAACATTATTTATTGTATTGGTACTTCCAACAAAATCAGTGGTTAAACATTAGTCACAACATACATAGAATAGGATGGGCCCCCGAAAAACTACGTTAAGACGGCTCTGTTTGACTGCACTCGCTACATTCCAGACTGATAAAGAACAAACAAATTTCAAAATAGCGGCACATACATTCTTATATAAAATATTATTAAAACATTTAATCACATGGCAAGAATATAATCAACTCTCTAGACTATAGGATGGTCGAGATTTAAATTTTTCATTATCTATTTTATAACCATTACAGCAAGAATGGTCATCTATTAATCTAAATCTTACATAATGCATCTTAAGGGTTCTTTTACGTACCGTACATGCCAACGTGGGATAAATAATAAATAGGCGTAAGAGTAAATCCTCCAAAAGATTTAAACTCTGCAGGAACCAAATGTAGTTATTCGATCGGATAAGCGAGGTTAGATAATAGCAAACCCATTATCCGACTGACTGGATATGATTTTTGATAGTCAGATTGAGACAGGGCCTACAGTAGTCATGAGTCTAATTAGGTGATTGTGAGAGCTAACATTTGAGAGACAAAAAAACCAAAAAAAAACCCCCCAAAAACCTGTCTATCCTGTAAGGCGAGAATCTTGCAATGCACAGATGTCAGTCCACCTGCTGACTGGTTATCGCTGGGCCGGCTGTCCGACTCTAATTTCAATCGCTACGTGCACCCCTGTCCATGTCATACGTCATTACTTATTAACGGGAAGCTACTCTTGTAATGCTAATGGAGTAAGACCACCGTCCTTTTTCTTCAGTCGAAAAATTTTGTGGCTTTATTTAGATGTTTGAGATCATTGAGAACTCTATTAAAAATTGAACCTTTATAGCTACGTGAGAAATAATTACTTTCGGAACGGTCTCCCACGGACGAAGTTCTCTGACCCACTGTTCTTTTCCGTCCCTTGCAATATGAAAATATACGGTAGTGGCTAGGCCTACCGCTCTAAGTACTAGATGTGTTAGTGTCTTACCTGTTGTGTAAATTATCCATTAAATCCTATTTTACTTGTCCAGAGGGTTCGAAAATATTTTTAAATCAAAGTCACATTTGAAAAGCTTTACGTCAGGCTTTTAAAATCATTTAGTTGAATTTTTCCAATTTTTTAGATTAGGTGTTTAAGATGAAATTTGTATCATCAATTAATTGGAATATTGTAAAATAGTGCAATTTGTTGACCAGAATAAAGATTGGGGCATAGACCTATTATTCAGTTACAACAAGATTGGTATTGAGCCTTTAAGGCTATTTGTTTGTCCTTATTTATCTTCTATTTTTCGCCATAATTTTGTTTTGTTCGCGAAAGGGAATCATTTCTCACCATAGATCTATCTTACAGTTACACAAATTTAATCCAACATTTAATTTTTTTTAGGTGGAATTTTGCGAATCAAAAACATGAATGAGGCGAATCTTAAGTTATTTGCTTAACTTTACAAATGGATTTTCTCTGTATATCCAGATGGAGCCTAAATGGTTAATAAAATATTATGGGCTTTATATTTTTATCATTATCTAGCGAATGATAATAGCAGACGATAAATGTATGTTTGTCACGTGACCTTTTGTATTGTTGTGTATTCGACGGAAGCGCTTACGTGCAAGGGCAAGGTCGTTTTGATGTGGTGTGACGATTTCTAGCGAAATAGGACAAGTTTTAATCCATTTCACTCCTTCGTTGATATTCAAGCGTAGAATTACTGGGAATTAACCGATGAGCTTTTTAGTGTCTCTGGCATTCTCATTTTTATGTGAATCTGACTCGGTAAGTAAGAAATTTAGCTCGAGATATAAAGTCAAACTTTTTATAAAATTGGACTTTTGAGTTTGAACTAGCCTAACTCAGTAACTGAAGTGACATATCCCAAAGCAGTAAATAATACTATGATATAGTCAAACTTTTGTCTATATATTTGTCATGGATTGATTTTTAAATCAAATTTTTATAGAATACACTTTAATAATACGTATGTGTGCTATACAGTGTAAGATCTGGTCTACAAAAACTTTCAATCTTGCCTTGTCACTTGTGGCTTGTCAACTGACTTCATTCATCATTGTACCAGGGCAGATCACTTGTTAAGTTGTTTCCAGGCCTACCAGGGTGTCACAAAAGAACTTGTATATATTCTAATCCAAAGTACCTAGTTACTCTTTCTATAGCCCTTTTGATGTCTATCAGGTCGTGAAATAAGTATTTAACTAACTTATACCTGCCGGTTGCCAAATTGTATTAAAAATAAAACATTCAATAAAAACATTCAAAAGAGACAAATCTATGCCATACAAATAGGTTATTCTGGGACAAACATAATAGGCCTATGGTTAAATTTTATTTCAATAATTCACTTGCGTGTAGGGTCTTTAGCTAGCGTGAAGAAACTGGAGGACCTGGAGAAAACTCCACCTCCTTGTCACATACAAGCGAGGAATCGAAAACCACGCCACTTGATTCATTCGCAGATCTTACGATGCAATGCGCACGTTAACCATTGAGTCGTTATATAACTGACTAGCAGTGAACTTGAGCACGGGGAGAACTTAAATTACATGCTATAGTATAAAAGTAGAATTTTGAAAAATTTAACCTTAAAGATACAGTTAAAGTAACTTAAAGTTTAAAGGAGCTAAATCGCTAATATTTTGGACCTAGAAATTAACAGAAATGGGTCGCACAGCATAATAATGTAATATGAATGTACAGTAAACTGATTTACATTCAAACGTTACGCCAGAAGGCTCAATCGAATGGAAATCTCTAGTGTCTGGTTATTCCAGATGTACTTGAGGGTCAATATTTGTCAGTTTGTGCCATCCAAGGGCCAACATTGTCTGTTATGGGCAATTTCGTACTCAGTGGGGTGTACTCTTTCATTTAAAATTTTTTCGACAGGTACCTCAAATGTATGAGTTTACACCCGTCATTCTATCGATTACCAGGGCCACACCCAGGGACAGGACCCTGGCAGACGCCCACTTCTGTGCATCCCAGGTTAGTATGTAGATGCCTATATGGTCAGACATTGGTACCTCGTTCATCTAGGTTCGACCCTCTGGGCTCCTGGTCTAAAAAGTGTTGTTGTTTTTAAATGCACTTAATAACCCAAATGTGTATTCAGAGAGGAGCCATTGGCTAGCTAACCTGGTGGTTCCGTTTTCGATCCAGGCATGATCCCTGTGGACAGAGAAAGTTCATCAGGATTTTCCGTCAGTGGTGCAGGACAGAGCAAACTGGCAAGGGAAAAGTAATGTATAGTCATTCGGATGATATGAAAAACTAAGGTGTATGTCTGTCTTCATTATCCCAGTTGAAGCAGAACAGAAGGACGTGATAAAATAACCCTATTTCTTTCATTCATTCGTGTATTCAGAGATTCCTTTTAAAAAGAAAAGAAAACATGATAGTATTGTTAGTGTAAATTTGTTCCCTGTGTTGTTATTACTACACCTCCATGTGTTGAAAGATAAATGGTGACTTTATTCAGATGATTTCAAAAACTTGTTAACACATCAAACCTCTGGAGATGAGAACAAATTGATAAAAAAAAAGAGTTTTATCTTCTTTTTATACACTCACATTGAAATGACGTAATTTGTAAATATTGCTGTCACCCCTATTTAAAATTTATAGATGTTGTTCACTAGTAGTACTAAGTGCCGTAGCCCTTGCCAATTTGTTGTGAACACTCTACAGGCTACATTTATTATCCAATCTATTTTTAAAATTTAAATATGTTGCTTACATTAGTGAGAGAAAGAATCCTATTAAATTTCAACATTTTCTGTTAATTACCTCTAGAGCTGTGGACCTTGTTTAACCGTTTGTCAGAAATTTATATTATGCAAATTACTGAAACAAGATTCCTATTTCATGTTGTGTAATTAAAGATGCTTTATGTAGGATGCGGACCGTGTTCAAATCCATTTTGATCTCAGCTATCCAATGGTCTAGAGACTTGTTTAATACATGTAGGTTTGTCAAGAAATAAATGTCTAAATAATAATTTATATATATATATATATATATAACTTTTAAACCCAAAGAAAGACTTTCGATAGGAAGATTTAGCTCTCACATAAGGCATCCTTAATAATAAAAAAAGGACACTTTAATTTTTTGTTAGGGGGAGGGTGGTAAATCCAACTTTATCATTCAATGTGAATTTTGTTTAAGAAGATTGTATTCTTGTACTGTTCATTCTCTGTTTTGCTAAACAGTTGGGCTTCTTGCAAAACTGAATTTCCTTACGCAACCCAAAACCAAGACCATTCATTCAGAAAACATACAGTTTTCTATGCCATTACCATTATACATATTTTTTATTTTTATTGATTTACACAAATACTTTTCAGACCTAACAACATCTCATCTTCGGTAATCTTCTACTTCAAGTTAATGCACGTAAAACATTTAAATAATTTGTCATTAGGCACGTCTTTCCTTATCCAAGAGAGGTTTTCATTTGGATGAATCAATAAGAATAAAAAGATTTTTTGGCCCAGAAAAAGTGTAGAAGTTCATTGTTGTAATGCTGTAGTTAGATTATTTTTTCTATATTGATTGATACAATGAAGCTGGTATTAATATTTTGAAATAGGAATCAAGTCTAGGCCTTTAATATTAAAATGTTTGCCTGAAAAGCAATGTTTACATCTAGTTTTCATCAAATTCAAATTGTGATGGGTTCTCTTACAAGTTACATGCAAGTCAACATGTATACATGTAGATGACCTTTGCTTTTTGTCCTATCCGAACAACAAAATGCCAGGTTCCTCTGTTTTGCACTTCGGAAACTACGCTGAAAAATCCTGAGGTACTTTCTCAGCCAACACCGGATCGAACGTGGGACTTTCTGGTTACTTCACCAGGGCCTTACTAACTGATGTCAGTAGGCCTACATGTAGTTTAGAAACAATTGTAAACATATAGTTGGATTAGCCTGAGGCAGAATTATGTTTTTAATGGCTATACATATTGTTTTTTTGAGAATATTCACACCGATTCTGAAACAGCTTGCACTGTACATTGTTTGATACCTGTCTGACTTTTAATTATTCCCTACTAGGGAAATGCAGTTCTGAAATGAGACACTTTTTAAAATTACATTTTCTGACCCAAAAGGTACGGTAAAATAGGAAGAACGGCAATTTTTAATAAAAAGTAGGAATAGCAAGGGAAAGCTTGCCTTGACCAGGAAAGTACATGTAGCCTGCTTTGTTCGGAGCATGGAGTAGTAGAGTTCTTGAATGCATATTATTATTATGATGAAAAAATTCTTAAATAGTAAATGGTGCATAATTACAACAAAAACTTGTTAGCTGTGCGAACTTTTCAAGCAGGTGATATCGTGTTTTAGTAGACTGGGCAAAAGGGTAAACAATGCTGTTGATACAGACCTTGTGATACAGCGCGCACTCACTAACTATTCGGCCATCCAACCCCCAAAATCAATTAAGAAAACACAATCAAAATATCAGCACTAGATAATTTCCTGGCTTATATATTCAATCAGATTTACTCTAGGCCCATCCTGTTTCTTCACTGCCAATAAAAGATTGTTACACTCAGGCCGTCTAGATCCATTAAATTTCAATAACTTTGTAAATTCTGAAGAGAATTGAACCATTTTTGGATTGATATTCCTACATGTATTAGACTTAGAGATTAAACTTTCACAATATTTTAGTTTTCAAGGGATTCCTAGACAGCGCTAAATGATAAACAAAGCCTTTTATAACTGTCGGTTAGTCTATAATATATACATGGATAAGGCATTGCTAATTTTCGTAGTTTTTATCCTACCTGGTAATCCTGTTGTACAGTAAGTTCTATTCTGGTAAAATAAATGATGTTTTTAAAAGACAAAAGTATATATATGTATATACTTGCTGTTTTTTTTAGAATAATTAGATATAACTAATACATGTATTTCTGTTGTTAGTATAATGTTAGAATGTTAGCTGTTACTTTTTCTTAGACATTCATTTAAAAACATGGAATTGATTGCTGGCTCACTATTCAGGGGGTCCTGTGTTTGATCCTGGTGTTGGTCGATTAAGTTTTCCAGGATTTTCAAGTGTGGTTTCTCCTTGTCAGTAGTGCAGGATGGAAGGGCTGACAAGGACAGTGTTTAGTCATTTAAATGGTACAAAAACCAAGATCCTGTGGTGTGCACCTTCATGTAAAAAAACCCTTGACAATTGGAATCCTATATAAGAATAGGCCATAATGCCACTGTGAGGGAAAAATTCCTCTCTTAGCACACTACACTGTATATATGCCCATCTTCATTATCCCAGTTGGTCCAGAAAGGTAAGATGTTAAACCCCATTTCATTTCCTCTTACAGGTAATTAAGAATTTACTATTTGTTTATAAACATCACCGTTTGATTTCAGAGTATAGGTAATACAGAATGTGGAGATTGTCCAGCTGACGAAGATCCAAGTGTGAAATACACCGAACCGTCCAGAATATCCAGAGTTATCTCTGAAATACAAGGTGAGATTAATAACCTGCTGTGGGTTCATTAAAAGAGAATGACTCGTAACCTTAGGTTGTTTGTTGTTGTGAGTCATGTCGCAATATGTCCCAGTTGGTGCTGACGTACCATTAAAAACGATTTCATTCGCATACATTTATCAAAACTTTTTTACCGTCACCTTTTCAGTGCTGTTAAAAAAATTGTGTTCTCATTGCTAAATAAAGTTTGATAAAATGTGAAATTGTGAGTACTCCGATCAAAAATGTTTTTGGTGCCCTCACTTGAACATTGTCTTGACAATTTTAATTTCCTTCTTATCGATGGGAACATGAGAAAGTAATTTGATAATGCCCCTGTGACTAATTATTCTCCTGTTGGTGATCCTGTGTGGATCAAAAGTAAATAAGAATACTTGACTGTTGACTATATTTGACATTAACACACACCCATAGTTTAATACTAACTATACACAGTAATGTATTCTATCAAATTATAAAAATACATCATCCCAGTATTCCAGGGGCAGATCTAGAATTGGGGTGGGGGAGCTTTGCCAGGTTTCTGTCACGGAATTGTTGACAGTTGACAATGCATGTTGCCATCATCGTCCCCAAATTATGTAGGCATACAATCATACATACACACTTGAGTTTTTGTAAAGAGAGAAAACCATCACCCCGTTTGATGTCAATTTTTATTATGAATTAATAAATGTAGGACCAAATTGTGATTCAGTTCAGTGATGCAAAGCATTAATTGTGGTATCACATGTCTATATCATTATCTCGTCCTTTGAATGCCCATCCCATCCCACCATCTGATAATAAAGCATAAAGCACACAACCGTGACACTTTTCCCATAAAAGTTTTGTTTTACAATTTTGTTTATGTAGCTGGGTAGATTCGCCCCTGTATTCTAACAGAAGCCACCAAAAATTATAGTCTGTATTGTTTTCAGTATCCCCAGATTTTGTATAGAATTCAATATAGTTATCGACAGACTTTTTAAAATTGTGTGAACCCCATCAAAAGTATTTTGATGAAAAGTTTTTAAAACTTGCATGGTTTAATTATTAAACATACATTATGCAAGAGCTAATCTGCCTATTGCTAAAGGTCTTCCTTTAGGCATGAAATGTTATATAAATTATTAAATAAACATTAATTACCTTATCCAGACCATAATCAACTCTCAATGTCATCGCTAGCATGCGATATTTACTAGATTTGATTCCAATTTGCTGCTCAACGCTCATTGATGATTTAATTCAAAAATGGGTAATCAAGACTATGTTTTTTATTATACCGACTTTAGTAATAATGGTCGAGGCTAGGTTTAAAATTCAAAAGCTAATATCTTGGTTCAGAGTGGATCAATTTGACTGAAATTTTCAGCAAATTCCCTTTACATTATCTAGTTTTTAACTGTTATAGTGAGAACTGTCAGCTCTTTATCTAATCTCCCATAATGCCACTTTAATAAACAAGTTTATATCAAAAGGAAGAAAACCACATTATTGACAGAGTTAACCTTGTGCCTTGCAGTGAAAAATTATTGATAAAATTGTTAAAACTTTACATTCGAAAATAAATGTCAGCAAATATTTTTTACAGTTATTGCTCTTGAATCAAAATCTTTTTAATACAGTTTGTTCAGTCCTTTTACCTTACCTAGAAACAAATTACAAAGTTATCATGAACCAGATTTGTAAATGAATGATGATATTTTATTGATAAATGTATAGGATATTGCGTGTATTTGATAGTGCAGACGGTTGGCTTCCAGTAAAGTGGGGTGGGTGGCCAAATGGTTTAACAAGTGCTCTTTAGATCATAAGATCTGTCATTGAGTCAAGTGACATGGTTTTGATTCCCTGCTTGTATGTGAGAAGAATTAGGGTCCCCTGTCCAACCTTGCGGATTTCCTCCGGGTCCTCTGGTTTCCTCCCACTGCTATAGCACTAAAGAAAGAACCCTATGTGTAAAGCAAATTCTTGAAATAAAATTGAACCATATGTTAGTCCCAAAATGACATAGTTTGTGTTGGATGTTAATCCCAATTTCTCTCTCACTTCGAGTTGATGTATGTTTTGGTAGCATCGAGTGCTTGTTAAAGGAGCTAAATCACTAATACTTGGGACCTAGAAATTGACCCAAATGGGTCGCAACGCATATAATAATGTAATCTGATTGTATATAAACTGATTTACATTCAATTGTTTCCGTTTTGACTCTAATTTCAAATCAGTTATGTCCAGCGAAATAAGGCATGTGTCTCAACCCTATAGCAATTTCTAGCGTCTGGTTATTCCAGTCTATTTATCAGGCTCACCAGTTGAATATGTCTAGCCTCTTTCTTTCTGGTCACTTGTTGCAAATGATGCTAAAACGCACTATGGTACACGATTCGTGTACCAATGGTAAATATTTATTTTGTCTTAAATATTGGATATCAGAAGCCTGCCTTTTCCTGGTAAGATCACAAAATCAATGTTGATTTGAATTGACAAATAATTCGTATTTTCAACGTGTAAGACTTTGGATGATATTGAGTTAGAGACTTAGCTAAATGTACTTTAAGCTAGGAATAAGGTTTAAATGACTAGGACACTTGATTTCGAGATATATATATACATTGTAGGCCTATACGGTATACACTGCCAGCCTCAACAAAGAAAAACTTGACATAGCAACAAAGTCATGCAAAGCTTGGTTGTCAGCACAGTGTATAAATATTTAAATAGATACAGCAGCAACATTGTTTTAGCTAATCAATTTTATCTTATATTATCTTATACATGTATATTTTTATACCCCCACATTTTTATGTGGACATATATTGTTGCAGATACTGTCCGTCTGTGTGTTCGACCGTTCAAATTTTGTTTGTGGACACTCTACAGGTCATAATTTTTATTCAGTTCTGTGGAAACTTGAAACATAGTTGTATCTCCCAAAGATCTCAGTTCCTTACGAAATTGGCATGTATTGGATCGTAACTTCATTATGGCCGTATGAAAAATCACTTTTCTAGCTTGTGGACACTCTAGAGGAGATTTTTATATAATTTTGTTGAAACTTGAAATGTGTTTTTATAAACCAAACATCCTGGTTCCATTCGATAATCACGCATATCGCACCGTAACTTCCTAGAATATGGCCCCTAAATTGTCTGAAAAATCGTGTTTTTTAGCTTGTGGAAACTCTATAGAGGTCACAATTTTATCTGATTTCAAAAACTGTTTAAATATATCACCGTTACACACTAATGATGGTTGAGTTCAAATATCGTGAAAATCAGACAGAAACTTTTTAACAAACTCGCTGCTACTTATACGCAAATAGTGTAAAATTATGTAATATCAAGGTTGTGGACCCTCTAGAAGTCACAGTTTTTATCCGAGTTCAAATATTGTGAAAATCAGACAGAAACTTTTTAACAAACTCGCTGCTACTTATACGCAAATAGTGTAAAATTATGTAATATCAAGGTTGTGGACCCTCTAGAAGTCACAGTTTTTATCCGATCTTGATGAAACTTAAAAGACACAAAAGATCTCGATTCCTTTCGATATTCATGCATATCTGAACGTAACTTGATTATGGCATCTGATTGTACAAAAAATCGTGTTTTTGTTTAGCTTGTTCTCTGTCCATCTCTTGCAAAATGTGGGTGTATCTTGCCTGGCAACCGCTGGTTTACATATATATATAATCTGCTGGGACCTATCCATTACATATTATATTAAGTGTATGAACACTTGATCCGAGCCAGAAAATGTCACACTTCTTTGCGAGTTCACCTTCACTGAATCAATGACTCATCTTGATTTTATGAGAAAATGACTTAAGTACACTAATCATCTGTATTGAACATAGTCAATGGAATTCAAAGAATTCGATCAAGGATATTATCGTTCTGCCAAGAAAAGAATGTCTGTGAATAGTTTATTGACTAGGTCTAGGCAATACAATAAAATATGTCAGAAAATTCAATCAATGCCATAATATGCTCCATTAGTCTTTAATTGTCATTAGTTATTAGACAAAATATAGAGATGCTTCCAGGAGTCACTGATAAAGTGTGGCCCATTACTCAAAGCTATAGAGTAAAAGCTAACCTTGAAGTCAAAGGTCACCACTGCCGGAGTTCCCAATATGTTAGGAGTCCTAAATTTAAAAATCTAGAAAAATGCAATTTTATGAAGCGTTACCTAAAATGTGAAGAAGTGCAACTGTAAATTTAGCTATGTTTTATAATGGTCTGATGATAGTGGGCTGATATATAGTTCAACAGCTGTGAATACTGAATTACACCTGCTACATATATGTTCATTGTCAAATTATGTAGATAAATTCCAGTAAAATTTCTGTGATTCTAAAATATGAAGAAACAATTAAATTTTAATTTTAAGTTAATATAAGTTATTGATAATAATTAGCCATGTTTAAATTAATTTAGTAGAATTCAGAATTTAAATTTATTTTTAAATAACCATAACTCATGCAGTAGCATACAAATTACAAATTTTTAATGAATTTAAAAATTCAAGATGAAGTTGTCCAGTGTAATCATGGCAAACTAATTTGTAAATCAAATTAATGACTGACAAAGATATAACAAACAAATTCTAGAAATTGTATTTCAAAATTTACTATCCCTTTAATTGAAATTGATTATAACTGAACATTTAGAATGCGTAGTGGTTGTCAATTATAGACTATGAACTGTAACATATGGTTTGGTTGTGACATTATACATGTACATGTATGTTATCTCTTTCGCCTGATAATACATTTTGCAGAACGGTAGTCCATCAGTATTGCTTTTGGGAATACATTATACATTTTTTTCCTGTACAATGCTTATTAGTTCATTAAAATTAAATTAGTCTGGGTTGATGCTGACATGGACATATGTACTACTAACTTGGATCAGAAGTTAGAATTTGAGTAGTGGTTATACTGTTGTTTGTGTTTATTCTATAAATAGAGATGGGTTTAATAAATAGCAAAG